AACTCTTTCTCGGTTAGTCCTGAGTGTTTGGTGTTGTAGTCTATGACTGGAGCATCAGGTAAGATCAAGGTCTCATAGACTGACTTGCTATTACAGTCCACCATAGATATGGCTGCAACATCCATTCCGACTGAGGTGTGCACCATCTCGCAGTCCATTGCAAAGATAGATTCCTTCCTAGCATGGCTTTGCTGGGTATTAATGAAGCCAATTAAATTATCTGGATCAATTTGATCAGATACATGTCTTGGAGCGGTACAGCATGGCTGGGATGACACCTTTCCACGACAGCAGTAGTAGGTAGGCACAGTACCGGTTGACAGCTTAGCCCAGTGATAATTGCAAGGCTCAGGTGAGATGAGATTCCCTGCAGCATCAATGCTATAAGATGTTTTGCAACGCTGGCAGGTACGCGTGTTGAAATTGTTCATGATGTTGTAGTGACTCGCTGCTCTGTGAATCACGGCTCTTCCTGGCTGAGAGTGAGGCCGTGGGTAGCCATAAGTATTTAAGTCTTCCTCTGTGAGTACCATTTCCCTCATGCGATGGTACAAGAGCTTGGTCATCATATCTGCCATTCTGTCCCGTCACTGCTTCCCAACCTGCAGGAATAAAAATTCTGTGAATAAAACTCTGCAGCACAATCAAAAACACTTGTGCAACATTTGGGTATCTTCATTCTGGAAGCATTTCATCACCCAGTGGTTCTTCAGTCCAATGCAAAAGTGGATGACGAGGAGTTTGAGGTAATCAGTCCCTCAGCCTGGAGTCAGTGTGTCCAGAAGTCACTGGCTGGTGACATGTTCACACAATAAACACCCAAATGTTGGAACAGTGTCTTCAACTTGTCAGTTTTCTATACCATACTAGTTCCCTGGTATCCATGGGGATGTGTTCCAAAACTTACCTTGGACGACCGGGGATAGTAACGAACCTTATATATGAAGCATTTTCTCGTTTACATACATACCTATGATAGTTTAATTAATTACAATAAGTGGAGAATTATCACTTTATTCACTGATGGGAACCACTTCAAGGCTTCTCTTAGATTTTGAACAACTGTCACCATCACAAATTTTGGGCATTATAGTTAGTATTATGGTAAATTGAGGGTTAGTTTTATGCCATGTTAAACCGTGGATAATCGAAACCGAGGATACAGGGGTTCTACCATACTTATATGTTAGAAACAGGGGTTCTACCATACATTAGAAACAGTTCCGCAAATATACAAAAATCTAAGATTTTTATGTTATTTATGAAGGTAAAATGCATTGACAATGCATAAATAAATATACACAGCCTGAGGTTACCACGACTCATAAATATAATACCATCACTACGAACTCACAGAAAGGGTGGTGAAGCTAGGCTGTACTTGCCATGGGTTCGAAACCCACTGGGTCTGTGGTTTGGGAGGTAATCAGTGAAGATGTAGGGAAAAGGACCACTTTATCCCTATGACATAACTCCATCAGCAGCATCAATAATAATAATAATAAATATATTTATACCTACATGGTACAACTTATACAGACCATAGCTCACACCTATGACATACTATATAGAAAGTTCCTGGTTATGTACAGCATTTCCCACAACTTAGGTTAATTTTGTCCCCTCCCAGGATGCCACCCACACCAGTCATCTAACCCCAGGATGCACACACCAACACCAGTCACCTACACACCCAGGATGCCACCCACACCAGTCACCTAACACCCAGGATCACCCACACCAGTCACCTAACACCCAGGATGCCACCCACACCAGTCACCTAACACCCGGGATACCACCCACACCAGTCACCTAACACCCAGGATGCCACCCACACCAGTCACCTAACACCCAGGATGCCACCCACACCAGTCACCTAACACCCAGGATTCCACCCACATATCTACAGTCCACTCTAACACCCAGGATGCCACCCACACCAGTCACCTAACACCCAGGATGCCACCCACACCAGTCACCTAACACCCAGGATTCCACCCACACCAGTCACCTACCCAGATTCCACCACACCAGTCACCTAACACCAGACCACCCACACCAGTTATCTAACACCCAGGATGCCACCCACACCAGTCACCTAACACCCAGGATGCCACCCACACCAGTCACCTAACACCCAGGATTCCACCCACACCAGTCACCTAACACCCAGGATACTACCCACACCAGTTATCTAACACCCAGGATGCCACCCACACCAGTCACCTAACACCCAGGATGCCACCCACACCAGTCACCTAACACCCAGGATGCCACCCACACCAGTCACCTAACACCCAGGATTCCACCCACACCAGTCACCTAACACCCAGGATTCCACCCACACCAGTCACCTAACACCCAGGACTCTACCCACACCAGTTATCTAACACCCAGGATGCCACCCATACCAGTCACCTAACACCCAGGATGCCACCCACACCAGTCACCTAACACCCAGGATTCCACCCACACCAGTCACCTAACACCCAGGATACTACCCACACCAGTTATCTAACACCCAGGATGCCACCCACACCAGTCACCTAACACCCAGGATGCCACCCACACCAGTCACCTAACACCCAGGATTCCACCCACACCAGTCACCTAACACCCAGGATACTACCCACACCAGTTATCTAACACCCAGGATGCCACCCACACCAGTCACCTAACACCCAGGATACCACCCACACCAGTCACCTAACACCCAGGATTCCACCCACACCAGTCACCTAACACCCAGGATACTACCCACACCAGTTATCTAACACCCAGGATGCCACCCACACCAGTCACCTAACACCCAGGATTCCACCCACACCAATCACCTAACACCCAGGACACAACCCACACCAGTTATCTAACACCCAGGATGCCACCCACACCAGTCACCTAACACCCAGGATGCTACCCACACCAGTTATCTAACACCCAGGAGGCCACCCACACCAGTCACTAACACCCAGGATGCTACCCACACCAGTTATCTAACACCCAGGATGCCACCCACACCAGTCACCTAACACCCAGGATACTACCCACACCAGTTACCTAACACCCAGGTACCTGCTTACTACTAGGTGAACAGTGACAGCAGGTGTCTTAAGAAAACACGTTCTTATGTATCCACCAGTATCGGAGATCGAACCATGGACCTCAGTGTGCGAGATGACCGCGCTACCAACCCAGCCACGGGGTTAAAACACCAGTCTACAGGTATTTGATTACCAGATAAACCCACCTTTATAACTCTCCCTTCTGCATGACTAGATGTTTGTATGGTGAGACTTAGGTGCACTTATGTGCTCTTAGGTGCACTTATGTGCTCTTAGGTGCACTTATGTGCTCTTAGGTGCACTTATGTGCTCTTAGGTGCACTTATGTGACATTTAGGTGTTCAATTACTCCCCTGTAGAAAACCTGAGGAAATTAAAACTGTATCGGAGTATCAGAAGATTCCAATCACACAACAGAGCGAGAAACTAATGTGAAGGACCTGGGAGTGATAATGTAAGATCTTGAAGATCACAATGTATCTACCACATCTGCTAGGAAAATGATAGGATGGATAATGAGAACTTTCAAAACTAGGGACGCCAAACACGTGTTGATTCTCTTCAAATATCTTGTTCCCTCTAGGCTGGAATATTTTCTGTACACTGTACGCCCCTTTTCAAGGTGAAATTGCGACCGGAGAATTACGAGAATTTCAAAAGACACCATAAGTATGATAAACCTAAATTACGGGAAAAGGGTTAAGTCCCTGATTTGTATTCCCGGAAAAGCGGCGAGAAAGAAACATGAAATATAACTTGAAAAATTTCCAGAGGGAAATTTTACCAAACTTCCACGAAAATCACTGTCTTTACAGCAAAACTCGGCAGGAATGTAACATTCCCCCAAAAGAAAAAAACAGTGACACCAGTACACTGAGAGACAACAATAAGTGCAGGGGACCAAGACTGTTTCAACTGTCTAACGATACATAAAGGGGGATTCCCAATAACTCCTTTGTCTTTTAAGACCCCTGGTTGCTTCAAGACCCCGGCTTAAGACCCTGTTGTCTTTAAGACCCCCGGTTTTTCTTCAAGACCCCTGGTTTTTTCTTCAAGACCCCCGCTGTCTTCAAGACCCCCCGGGTGCAAACCCCCGGGTGTCTTCGGGGCCCCTGGTTGTCTTCAAGACCCCCCCGGTTGTCTTTAAAATCCCGGGTTTCTTTAAGACCCTTGGGTTTTCTTCAAACCCCTGGGTTTTCTCCAAGACCCTGGTTGCTTCAAGACTCCGGGGTTTTCTCCCAAAACCCCTGGCTGTCTTTAAGACTCCCTGGGTTTTCTTCAAGACCCCCGGCTGTCTTCAAGACCCCGGTTGTTTCAAGAACCCTTGGTTGTCTTTTAAGACCCTGGTTGTCTTAAAAACCCTTGGTTGCTTCAAGCCCCGGTTGCTTTAAGACCCCTGGTTTCTTAAGCTCCCGGTTGTCTTCAAAGGCCCGGTTGTCTTCAAACCCCTGGTTTGTCTTCAAGACCCCCCGGTTGTCTTCAAGACCCCGGTTGTCTTCAAGACCCCTGGTTTTCTTAAGACCCCTGGTTGTCTTCAAGATCCCCCGGTTTTTCTTCAAGACCCCTATTGTCTTCAAGACCCTGGTTGTCTTCAACCCCTGGTTTTTCTTCAACCCCCCTGGTTTTCTTTAACACCCCTTTTTTCTTTAAAAACCCCGGTTGTCTTCAACACCCCTGGTTGTCTTCAAACCCCGGGTTTTCCTCAAGACCCCTGGTTGCTTCAACACCCCTGGTTTTTCTTCAAGACCCCTGGGTTTTTTCAACACCCCTGGTTGTCAACACCCCTGGTTGTCCTCAAAACCCCGGTTGTTTCAAAAAACCCCTTTGTCCTCAAGACCCCTGGTTGTCTTTAACACCCCCGGTTGTCTTCAACACCCCTGGTTGTCTTCAACAACCCTGGTTGTCTTTAACACCCCCGGTTTTCTTAACACCCCTGGTTGTCCTCAAAACCCCTGGTTGTCTTCAAACCCCGGGGTTTTGTTTTTAAAACCCCCGGTTGCTTCAACACCCCCGGTTGTCTTCAAAACCCCTGGTTGTCTTCAACACCCCTGGTTGTCAACACCCCGGTTTCCTCAAACCCCTGTTGTCTTCAACACCCCTGGTTTGTCCTCAAAACCCTGGTTGTCTTCAACACCCCGGTTGTCCAAAACCCCTGGTTGTCTTCAACACCCCCGGGTTTTCTTAAAACCCCTGGTTTCTTTAAAACCCCTGGTTGTCCTCAAGAACCCCTGGTTGTCTTCAAAACCCCTGGTTTTGTTTTTAACACCCCTGGTTGTCTTCAACACCCCGGTTGTCTTTAACACCCCCGGTTGTGTTTTAACCCCCTGTTGTCTTCAACAACCCTGGTTGTCTTCAACACCCCCGGTTTTCTTCAACACCCCTGGTTTTCTTTAACACCCCTTTTTCTTTAACCCCGGTTTTTCTTCAAAAAACCCCTGGTTGTCTTCACACCCCCGGTTTGGGCCTTCAACACCCCTGGTTGTCTTAACACCCCCGGGTTTTCTTAACCCCCTGGTTGTCCCAAGACCCCTGTTGTCTTTTAACACCCCCGGTTGTGTTCAACACCCTGGTTTTCTTCAACCCCCTGGTTGTCTTCAACACCCCCGGGTTTTGTTCAAAACCCCGGGGTCTTTAAAAACCCCCTGGTTGTCTTTAACACCCCTGTTGTCTTCAACACCCCGGTTGTTTTCAACACCCCTGGTTGGGTTTAAACCCCCCCGGTTTTTTTCAACACCCCCGGTTGTCTTCAACACCCCCGGTTGTCTTCAACACCCCTGGTTGTCTTCAACCCCCTGGTTTCTTCAACACCCCTGGTTGTCTTCAACACCCCTGGTTGTCTTCAAAAACCCCGTTGTCTTCAACACCCTGGTTGTCTTTAACCCCCTGGTTGTCTTCACACCCCTGGTTGTCTTCAAACACCCCTGGGTTTCCTCAAGAGGGAGCTGGACAACACACAGTACCTGACCCTAGCTGTGATTCCTACGTTGGCTTCCCTGCCCCCAGCAGTAACATCCGGTTGATCAGGTCCTGCCCCCACCAGGCCCGGTCATTGGGCAACCCCCCGGGGGGGCCCCTTAACCCCCCGGGAACCCCCCCCCCTCCAACATACACAACAAAATTTCCTTCAGCAGAGCTACGAAAAAATTCCAAAATCCCAACAGTCGGTCTCCTAAAATCAAATCTGTCAAATTCCAGCCTAAGCGTAAGACCTCATAGGCCCATCAGAAATACCAGTGCCCAGGCCTAAAGCTGGGCTTAAAGTGCACACAAACAATCCAAATTAACCTATGGCTTAAACATAGCAAACAGCACACGCCGCCCCTTTTCAACCCGCTTCCAACACCCCACACAGCGCTGACCCCTATAAGACCACGGGCCCACAACGCCTCAAAGTCTGAAACTCTCAAAAACCTCAACTTACTCACTGGCAGATTGATTTTGTAAAATCAACACAAAACGAAAATTTTCACCCCCTTTTTCATGTACAATGTATATTCTACCGGGGAAACTTTTACAGCCATAGCCCAAACCCAGACTACTTAAAAAGAAAGTTCCTGGTTATGTAGAAGCATTTCCCACAACTAGGTTTAATTTGTACACAGGTGTGAGGTACTAACACCAGGTACTACTTACTGCTAGGTGAACAGTGACAGCAGGTGTAAGGGAACTAACACCCAGGGTACCTACTTACTGCTAGGTGAACAGTGACAGCAGGTGTAAAGGGAACTAAAACCCAGGTATCTACTTACTGCTAGGTGAACAGTGACAGCAGGGGTAAGGTAACTAACACCCAGGTACTACTTACTGTAGGTGACAGTGACAGCAGGTGTAAGGTAAATAACACCCAGGTAAACCCACTTACTGCTAGGTGAATGACAACAGGTGTAAGGTGACTAACACCCAGGTACCTACTTACTGCTATTTAACATGAAGCAGGTGTAAGGTAACTAAAAACCCAGGTACTACTTACTGCTAGATGAACACTGACAGCAGGTGTGAGGTACAACCAAGGTACTACTTACTGCTAGGTGAACAGTGACAGCAGGTGTAAAGGGAACTAACACCCAGGTACCTACTTACTGGCTAGGTGAACATGACAGCAGGTGTAAGGTAACTAAACCCAGGTACCTTCTTACTGCTAGGTGAACAGTGACAGCAGGTGTAAGGGGAAATAACACCCAGGTACCCACTTACTGCTAGGTGAACAGGAAAAGCAGGGTAAGTGACTAACACCCAGGTTTCCTATTACTGCTAGGTGAAGTGCAAGTGTAAGGTACTCACCAGGTACCTACTACTGCTGGTGAACGGACCAGGTGTAAGGTACTAACCCAGTACCTATTATGCTAGTGAACATGAAGCAGGTGTAGGTAACTAACCAGGACTATTACTGCTGGTGACAGTGACGCAGGTTTAAGTACTAAACCAGGTACTACTTACTGAGGTGAACATGACGCGGTAAGGTACTAACACCCAGTACCTACTATGCTAGGAATGACAAGGTGTAAGGGCTAACCCCAGGTACCTACTACTGCTAGGTGAACATGACAGCAGGTGTAAGGTAACTAACACCCAGGTATCTACTTACTGCTAGGTGAACACTGACAGCAGGTGTAAGGTGACAAACACTTAGGTACCTACTTACTGCTAGGTGAACAGTGACAGCAGGTGTAAGGTAACTAACACCCAGGTACCTACTAACTGCTAGGTGAACACTGACAGCAGGTGTAAGGTGACTAACACCCAGGTACTACTTACGCTAGGTGAACACTGACAGCAGGTGTAAAGGTGACTAACACCCAGGTACCTACTTACTGCTAGATGAACGTAACAGCGGTGTAAAGTGAACTAACACCCAGGTACCTACTTAACTGCATAGGTGAGCAGTGACAGCAGTGTAAGGTGACTATCACACCAGGATACCTACTTACTGCTATGAGTGAACAGTGACAGCAGGTGTAAGGTGACTAACACCCAGGTACCTACTTACTGCTAGTGTGACAGTGACAGCAGGTGTAAGGTGACTAACACCCAGGTACCTACTTACTGAGGTAACAGGACAGGGGTGTAAGGTAACTAACACCCAGGTGCCTATTTACTGCTGGGTGAACAGTGCAGCAGGTGTAAGGGACTAAACCCAGGTACCTATTACTGCAGGTAACCTGACAGCAGGTGTAAGGTGACAAACACCCAAAGGTACACTTACTGCTAAAAAATGAACAGTAACAGCGGGTGTAAGGTGACAAACACCCAGGTACCACTTATCTAGTGAGCGGACGCAGGTGTAAGGGACACCCCCGGGTACCAAATACGTGGTGAACAGTACAGAGGTGAAAGGTGACAACCATAAGAACATAAAAACAAAAAAACGAAGGAACACTGCGGGGAAGGGCCCTATGGCCATGCGAGGCGGGTTCCCAATCCCTCCCGGCTTAAGCCAATGCCCCCAAACCCTAGTCAGGTCAGGTCACATTGACTTAAGGGGGGAACCGGGAAACCGACCTGTTGCACAGCTTTTAGGCCCAAAACTCACAAACCCACCCAATTACTCATGTTTTATCCAACTATTTTTAAGCTACACAACGTTCTGGCCCCTAAACGGTACTTGGGAGTTTGTTCCCCTCATCCAAACTCTATTACCAAAACCGTCTTTCCTATATCCCCCTGAATCTGAATTTTTCCCAAATTAAAAAACCCTTGCTGCGAGTCCTGTCTAGGTAGATTTTTCAGCACATATTTACATCCCCTTTAATTTTTTCCTGTCTTCCTTTATAACCCGATCATATCCCCCCCAAATTTTACGTCTTTCTAGAGAGTGCGTTTCGGGCCCTCATCTACCCCTTTGGGAAGGTTTTGATACATGGGATCATCTTTGTCTCCTCCTTTGTAATTTTCCAGGCATTTATATCCCTTCTGTAATACGGGGACCAAACTGTGCGCATAACTAATGATCCTAACCAACGAGTATGAGTTTAAAAAAACCCGGGGGCTCCTATTATTTTTTTGCTTTTTGATATGAAGCCAAGGATCTATTACTTTATTGCGAACACTTAGCACTGTTGTCTTGGTTTCAATTACTGCAACCAAACTCCTAAATCTTTTTCGCAATCCGTAAAATTAAAATCTACATTATTTTGTTTTAAAATGGCTGGTTTATTGTCCCGTCCCCAAAATTTAGAAATTTGCATTTGTCATATTAAACTGCATCTGCCCTTTTCCGACCACGCATCAGTCTATTAAAAAACTTCCCGGAGAGGGACTAACACCCAGGGGACCCACTTACTGCTAGGTGACCAGGAAGCAGGTTGTAAGGTAACAAAAAACCCCCGGGCCACAAGGGGGGCTCCCGGTTGGGGGGGTCCTCCCAGAGCTCCCCCTTTCCCTTGGATTAGACCCCCGAGTTGGGAAAAGCTTAAATAAACTGTAAACCCTCATGGGCTCTGCACTAACCTGCTAGCCAGGTAGAGCCAGGTGGAACTTTGTAGAGCCTTGTAGAACCTTGTAGATCTTTGGTAGAGCTTGTAGAGCCTTGTAGTTCTTTTTAGAGCCTTGCAGAGTTTTGTATAATTTATAGAGCCCTTTAGAGCCAGGTAGAGCTTTGTAAAGCCAGGCAGTATTTTGTAAACTAGGTAGATCCTCGTAGAGCCAGATAGATCCTAGTAGAGCCAGGTAGATCCTCGTAGAGCCAGGTAGATCCTAGTAGAGCCAGGTAGATCCTAGTAGAGCCAGGTAGATCCTCGTAGATCCAGATAGATCCTAGTAGAGCCAGGTAGATCCTCGTAGATCCAGATAGATCCTAGTAGAGCCAGGTAGATCCTAGTAGAGCCAGGTAGATCCTAGTAGAGCCAGGTAGATCCTCGTAGAGCCAGGTAGATCCTAGTAAAGCCAGACAGATCCTCGTAGAGCCAGGTTGATAGTCGTAGAGACAGGTTGATCCTCGTAGAGCCAAGTAGTTCCTCGTAGAGCCAGATAGTTCCTCGCAGAGCCAGGCAGATCCTCGTAGAGCCAGACCGCACTAGTGCACAGCTCTGAAAGTGGTCTGTGGACCGTCTCAGTAGACCGGTACACGTACGGTCCGTGTGACTGGCTGCCAGGAACGGTCCATATGGCCCAATATGGCCCTTAAAAATGCCATAATACACTGACAAGGGCCAAGGCTCTAACATGGGCCATAGACTGGGCCATTGGCCATTCTAAATCCCCAGAAATAAAATTTATACCACAAATTCCCATATATAAATAGCTAAATTAAAGAAAAAATATCACTTTTATCAGTAAAATTAATTTGGAAATTATTTCTAAAGTTAAAAACTTAGAAAAAAAATTGATTAATCGAATTTTTTCCTCCATTTTGGAATGCTGTGTTGGTAGTGACGTCACACCGCGCGCCAGCAAGCTTGTTTAAGATACTGAACCGCTTGCTCCTGAAGAACAGCATTATTGTGTTGAAGAACACAATAACAGTGTTGTAGAACACGATATAACAGCATAACATTGTTGTAGAACACAGTATAACAGTGTTGTAGAACACAATATAACAGCATAACATTGTTGTAGAACACAATATAACAGTATAACATTGTTGTAGAACACAATATAACAGCATAACATTGTTGTAGAACACAATATAACAGTATAACATTGTTGTAGAACACAATATAACAGCATAACAGTGTTGTAGAACACAATATAACAGTATAACATTGTTGTAGAAACACAATTTTAACAGTATAACATTGTTTTTAGAACACAATTTTACAGCATAACAGTGTTGTAGAACACATATTAACAGTATAACATTTTTGTAGAACAAATATAACAGCATATAACGTGTTGTGAACAAATATAACAGTATAACATTGTTGTAGAACACAATATAACAGTTTTAAAATTGTTGTAGAACACAATATAACAGATAACAGTGTTGTAGAACCAAAAACAGTTTAAAACATGTTGTAGAAAACAATATAACAGTTAACAGTTTTGTAGAACACAATATAACAGGTATAACAGTGTTGTAGAACACAATATTTAAAAGTATAAAAAGTGTTGTAGAAACAATATAACAGCATAACTGTTGTAGAACACAATATAACAGTTTTTAACAGTGTTGTAGAAACATATAAAAAGTATAACAGTGTTGTAGAACACAATATAACAGTATAACATTGTTGTAGAACACAATATAACAGTATAACAGTGTTGTAGAACACAATATAACAGTATAACAGTGTTGTAGAACACAATATAACAGCATAACATTGTTGTAGAACACAATATAACAGTATAACAGTGTTGTAGAAACACATATAACAGTGTTGTAGAACACAATATAACAGTATAACAGTGTTGTAGAACACGAAAATAAAAAGCATAACATTGTTGTAGAACACAAAATATTTTAACCCGTGTTGTAGAACACGATATACGCATAACATTGTTGTAGAACACAATATAACAGTGTTGTAGAACACAATATAACAGCATAACATTGTTGTAGAACAACAATATAAAAAGTGTTGTAGAACACAATATAACAGATAACATTGTTGTAGGAACACAATATAAACAGTGTTGTAGAACACATATAACAGCATAAAATGTTGTAGAAACAGTATAACAGTGTTGTAGAAAAAAATATAACAGCATACATTGTTGTAGGAAAACAATATAACAGTATAACATTGTTGTGAACACAATAAACAGCATAAAAATTGTTGTAGAACACAATATAAAAAGTTATAACATTTTTGTAGAACACAATTTTAACAGATAACAGTGTTGTAGAACACAATATAACAGTTAATATACATTGTTGTAGAAAAACATATAAAGTTAACATGTTGTAGAACACAATATAAAAGCATTTAAAAGTGTTGTAGAACACAATATACAGTATAACATTGTTGTAGAACACAATATTACAGCTAACATTGTTGTTAGAACAAATATACAGTATAATTGTTGTAGAACACAATAAATAACGTTAAACAAAATTGTTTTGTTTAGAACACAATATAACTGATAACAGTGTTGTGAACACAATATAACAGTTATAACATTGTTGTAGAACACAATATAACAGTATAACAGTGTTGTAGAACAAATAACAGTATAACAGTGTTGTAGAACACATTTTAACAGTATAAAAAGTGTTGTAGGGAAAACAATATAACAGCATAACAGTGTTGTAGAACACAATATTAAAAAGTATAACAGGTTTTTAGAACACAATATAACGTATAACAGTGTTGTAGAACACAATATAAAAAGCATACATTGTTGTAGAACAAATTTTAACAGTATAAAAAGTGTTTTTAGAACACAATATAACAGTGTTGTAGAACACAAATATACAGTAAACAGTGTGTAGAACACGATATAACAGCATAACATTGTTGTAGAACACAATATAACAGTGTTGTAGAACACAATATAACAGCATAACATTGTTGTAGAACACAATATAACAGTGTTGTAGAAACAATATAAAAAGTTTTAACATTGTTGTAGAACACAATATAACAGTGTTGTAGAACACAATATAACAGCATAACATTGTTGTAGAACACAATATAACAGTGTTGTAGAACACAATATAACAGCATAACATGTTGTAGAACAATTTTAACAGTGTTGTTAGAACAAATATAACAGTAAAAATTTTTGTAGAACACAATATAACAGTGTTGTAGAACACAATATAACAGCATAACATTGTTGTAGAACACAATATAACAGCATAACAGTGTTGTAGAACACAATATAACAGCATAACAGTGTTGTAGAACACAATATAACAGCATAACAGTGTTGTTGAAAAAACAATTTTAACAGTATACAGTGTTGTAGAACACAATATAACAGTATAACAGTGTTGTAGAACACAATATAACAGTGTTATAGAACACAATATAACAGTGTTGTAGAACACAATATAACAGTGTTGTAGAACACAATATAACAGTATAAGTGTTGTAGAACACAATATAACAGTGTTGTAGAACACAATATAACAATATAACAGTGTTGTAGAACACAATATAACAGCATAACATTGTTGTAGAACACAATATAACAGCATAACATTGTTGTAGAACACAATATAACAGTGTTGTAGAACACAATATAACGTAAACATTGTTGTAGAAAAACATTTTAACAGTGTTGTAGAACACAATTATAACAGTTATAAAATTGTTGTAGAACACAATATAACAGATAAATTGTTGTAGAACACAATTTAAAAAGATACTTGTTGTAGAACACAATATAACAGCATAACAGTGTTGTAGAACACAATATAACAGCATAACAGTGTTGTAGAACACAATATAACAGTATAACATTGTTGTAGAACACAATATAACAGTATAACAGTGTTGTAGAACACAATATAACAGCATAACATTGTTGTAGAACACAATATAACAGCATAACAGTGTTATAGAACACGATATAACAGCATAACATTGTTGTAGAACACAATATAACAGTTTTAAAAGTGTTGTAGAACACAATATAACAGATAAAAATTGTTGTAGAACACAATTTTAAAAAGATAACATTGTTGTAGAACCCCAATATAACGTATATAACAGTGTTGTAGAACACAATATAACAGTATACATTGTTGTAGAAACACAATATAACAGTATAACAGCGTTGTAGAACACAATATAACAGTATAACATTGTTGTAGAACACAATATAACAGCATAACAGTGTTGTAGAACACAATATAACAGTATAACATTGTTGTAGAACACAGTATAACAGCATAACAGTGTTGTAGAACACAATATAACAATATAACAGTGTTGTAGAACACAATATAACAGTATAACAGTGTTGTAGAACACAATATAACAGCATAACATTGTTGTAGAACACAATATAACAGTATAACAGTGTTGTAGAACACAATATAACAGTGTTGTAGAACACAATATAACAGTATAACAGTGTTGTAGAACACAATATAACAGTATAACAGTGTTGTAGAAAAACAATATAACAGTGTTGTAGAACACAATATAACAGTATAACAGTGTTGTAGAACACAATATAACAGTATAACATTGTTGTAGAACACAATATAACAGTGTTGTAGAACACAATATAACAGTATAACATTGTTGTAGAACACAATATAACAGCATAACAGTGTTGTAGAACACAATATAACAGTATAACAGTGTTGTAGAACACAATATAACAGTATAACATTGTTGTAGAACACAATATAACAGCATAACAGTGTTGTAGAACACAATATAACAGCATAACATTGTTGTAGAACACAATATAACAGCATAACATTGTTGTAGAACACAATATAACAGTATAACAGTGTTGTAGAACACAATATAACAGTATAACATTGTTATAGAACACAATATAACAGTGTTGTAGAACACAATATAACAGTATAACATTGTTATAGAACACAATATAACAGTGTTGTAGAACACAATATAACAGTATAACATTGCTGTAGAACACAATATAACAGCATAACATTGTTGTAGAACACAATATAACAGCATAACATTGTTGTGAACACAATTTAACAGCATAACAGGGGTTGGTAGAAACAAATAAACAGCATAACATTGTTTTTAGAACACAATTATAACAGTATAACAGTGTTGTAGAACACAATATAACAGTATAACAGTGTTGTAGAACAAAAAATATAACAGTTTTAACAGTGTTTTTTAGAACAAATTTTAACGCATAAATTGTTGTGATCACAATATAACAGTATAATTGTTGTAGAACACAATATAAACGTATAAAATTGTTTGTAGAACACAATTATAACGTATAACATTGTTTGTAGAACACAAATATAACAATATAACATTGTTGTAGAACACAATATAACAGCATAACAGTGTTGTAGAACACAATATAACAGCATAAAAAGTGTTGGTTAGAACACAATATAACAGTTTAAATTTTTGTAGAACACATATAACAGTTTTAACAGTGTTGTAGAACACAATATAACAGTATAACAGTGTTGTAGAAAAAATATAATACAGTATTTTTTAAAATTGTTGTAGAACACATTATAACAATTAACATTGTTGTTTGAACACAATATAACAGCATAACGTGTTGTAGAACAAACAGTACTAGACAGGAACCATACCTGTCAATACTCTCTGCCTTTGATAGACAGTATTAGACAGGAACCATACCTGTCAATACTCTCTGCCTTTGATAGACAGTATTAGACAGGAACCATACCTGTCAACACTGTCTCTGATAGTATTAGACAGGAACCATACCTATCAACATGTCTTGATAGAAGTATTTTGACAGGAACCATTACCCGTCAACCTGTCTCTGATAGTATTAGACAGGAACCATACCTGTCAACACTGTCTCTGATAGACAGTATTAGACAGGAACCATACCTGTCAACACTGTCTCTGATAGTATTAGACAGGAACCATACCTATCAACACTGTCTCTGATAGACAGTATTAGACAGGAACCATAACTGTCAACACTGTCTCTGATACAGTACTAGACAGGAACCATAACCTGTCAACACTGTCTCTGATACAGTACTAGACAGGAACCATAACTGTCAACACTGTCTCTGATACAGTACTAGACAGGAACCATAACTGTCAACACTGTCTCTGATACAGTACTAGACAGGAACCATAACTGTCAACACTGTCTCTGATACAGTACTAGACAGGAACCATAACTGTCAATGCTGTCCCATACCACTGATTAATAAGATCGTGGGGACTAGACCGTAGGAGGAATGAAACTGTTGTTCAATACCCAAAACGTACATGTGGCCAGGAGTAGACAAATCATTCTGTCTATCCCATTTAGTCCGTTACCCTCCTACGGAAGCCAGTAACTGACAGTATCATCTAGTCTGGGACACTGGACACGTCTGTATTAAATCTGGGAATGGACCGTTGTCTCTAGCTCTGGGAACTGGACGTCTATATCTAGCTGGGGAACTGGACCGTCTGTCCTAGCTCTGGACACTGGGACCTCTGTATCTAGCTCCCGGGACATGGACCGTCTGTCTCTGTCTTTGGGGTATGGACCGTCTGTCTCTAGTCTGGGCATGACCGTTATATCTAGCTCCTGGACACTGGCCCTCTGTTTAGCTCTGGGACAGGACCGTCTGTCTCTGCTCTGAGACATGGAAACCGTCTATATCTAGTCCCGGGACCTTGGACGTTTTTATTAGCTGGGACACTGGACCGTCTGTCCTAGCTCTGGACACTGGACCGTCTGTAAACTAGCTCCTGGGACATGGACCGCTGTTTTTAGCTCCTGGGATATGGACGTCTGTTTCTCTGTCCTGGGACACGGGCCGTTATATCTTAGTCTGGGACATGGCCGTCTGTCTTGCTTGGGACATGGACCGTCTGTCTCTAGCTCTGGGACACTGGACGTCTATATCTAGCTCCTGGGACACTGGGGCCGTCTGTCTCTAGTCTGGGAATGGACGTTATTCTAGTCTGGGACACTGGGGCGTTATATTAGCTCCTGGGACACTGGCCGTTTTATATCTAGCTCCTGGGAGACTGGACCGTCTGTATCTAGCTCCTGGGACACTGGACCGTCTATATCTAGCTCCTGGGACACTGGACCGTCTGTCTCTAGCTCCTGGGACACTGGACCGTCTGTCTCTAGCTCCTGGGACACTGGACCGTCTATCCTGCTGTTATACAAGGTAAATTCACCTATAATGACACTTTATTATACTCTCTATAACCTTCCTATGGATGATAATTATAGCAGGTCATTATAACTTGTTATATACCTTATAATGACCTACAGAATAGGTGTATAATGTACTATAATGTATGATGTAGTATAATGTAGCATAATGTGGTGTAATTATACATTATACCACATTATAATGTTGTATAATGTGGTATAATGTGATTCAATGAAGTATAATGCAGTATAATACATTGTAATTAGCTGAATGTAGTATAATTATACCATTATACCACATTATAATACAGTATAATGTGGTATAATGAAGTATAATGTGATGTAATGTAGTATAATGTATAATTTTACATACCACATAATGTGGTATAATGAAGTATAATGTGATGTAATGTAGTATAATTATACATTATACCACATTATAATGTAGTATAATGGATAATGTAGCATGATGTGGTATAATGTAGTATAATGCAGTATAATTATACATTATACCACATTATAATGTAGTATAATCTTGTATAATGTAGTATAATCGTGTATAATGTAGTATAATCTTGTATAATGTAGTATAATCGTGTATAATGTAGTATAATCTTGTATAATGTAGTATAATCGTGTATAATGTAGTATAATCTTGTATAATGTAGTATAATCGTGTATAATGTAGTATAATCGTGTATAATGTAGTATAATTATACATTATACCACATTATAATGTAGTGTAATCTTGTATAATGTAGTATAATCTTGTATAATGTAGTATAATCGTGTATAATGTAGTATAATCTTGTATGTAGTATAATCGTGTATAATGTAGTATAATCGTGTATAATGTAGTATAATTATACATTATACCACATTATAATGTAGTATAATCTTGTATAATGTAGTATAATCTGGTATAATGTAGTATAATCTTGTATAATGTAGTATAATTATACATTATACCACATTATAATGTAGTATAATCGTGTATAATGTAGTATAATCTAGTAAATGTAGTATAATTATACATTATACCACATTATAATGTAGTATAATCGTGTATAATGTAGTATAATCGTGTATAATGTAGTATAATCTGGTATAATGTAGTATAATCGTGTATAATGTAGTATAATCTGGTATAATGTAGTATAATCGTGTATAATGTAGTATAATCGTGTATAATGTAGTATAATCGTGTATAATGTAGTATAATCTGGTATAATGTAGTATAATCGTGTATAATGTAGTATAATCGTGTATAATGTAGTATAATTATACATTATACCACATTATAATGTAGTATAATCTTGTATAATGTAGTATAATCTGGTTATAATGTAGTATAATCGTGTATAATGTAGTATAATCGTGTATAATTTTAGTATAATCGTGTATAATGTAGTATAATCATGTATAATGTAGTATAATCGTTTTATAATGTAGTATAATCATGTATAATGTAGTATAATCGTGTATAATGTAGTATAATTATACATTATACCACATTATAATGTAGTATAATCGTGTATAATGTAGTATAATCTGGTATAATGTAGTATAATCGTGTATAATGTAGTATAATCGTGTATAATGTAGTATAATCGTGTATAATGTAGTATAATCATGTATAATGTAGTATAATCCTGTATAATGTAGTATAATTATACATTATACCACATTATAATGTAGTATAATCGTGTATAATGTAGTATAATTATACATTATACCACATTATAATGTAGTATAATCGTGTATAATGTAGTATAATTATACATTATACCACATTATAATGTAGTATAATCGTGTATAATGTAGTATAATTATACATTATACCACATTATAATGTAGTATAATCGTGTATAATGTAGTATAATCTGGTATAATGTAGTATAATCTGGTATAATGTAGTATAATCGTGTATAATGTAGTATAATCGTGTATAATGTAGTATAATCGTGTATAATGTAGTATAATCGTGTATAATGTAGTATAATCGTGTATAATGTAGTATAATCGTGTATAATGTAGTATAATCGTGTATAATGTAGTATAATCGTGTATAATGTAGTATAATCTGGTATAATGTAGTATAATCGTGTATAATGTAGTATAATCGTGTATAATGTAGTATAATCTGGTATAATGTAGTATAATCGTGTATAATGTAGTATAATCGTGTATAATGTAGTATAATCTGGTATAATGTAGTATAATGTCATTTTTGACCTGATAAAAGTCACTGTGCTTGTCTAAGTGTTGTTGCAGGGTCGAGTCACAGCTCCTGGCCCCCTTGCACGGTCGACACGTCGTTGGTGTACTTGTACGTGATTACTGAGCCGTGTACGTTAGTGTCCTTGGACGTCCTGTGCGTCGGGCTCACATTAGAAGTGCCCAGGTTGCATCCTGGGGGAGGTGGGACTCGATAGGCTGGCTTTTTAAAGGCCATAGGCCTGGTGGAGCAGTGTGGTAGGCCTATGTGTTGGGTTAATCTTGGGTTATCCTGGGTTAATCTTGGGTTATCCTGGGTTAATCTTGGGTTATCCTGGGTTATCCTGGGTTAATCTTGGGTTATCCTGGGTTATCCTGGGTTAATCTTGGGTTATCCTGGGTTAATCTTGGGTTATCCTGGGTTAATCTTTGGTTATCCTGGGTTAATCTTGGGTTATCTTGGGTTAATCTTGGGTTATCCTGGGTTAATCTTGGGTTATCCTGGGTTAATCTTGGATTATCCTGGGTTAATCTTGGGTTATCTTGGGTTATCCTGGGTTAATCTTGGGTTATCCTGGGTTATTAACCCACCAGGGTTAATTTTGGGTTATAATAATAATAATTATTATTATTTATTATTATTATTATTATTATTATTATTATTATTGCTGTGCTCATGATATAATATTAAGTGGTCTGCTATATTAAGTGGTCTGCTATATTAAGTGGTCTGCTATATTAAGTGGTCTGCTATATTAAGTGGTCTGCTATATTAAGTGGTCTGCTATATTAAGTGGTCTATATTAAGTGGTCTGCTATATTAAGTGGTCTATATTAAGTGGTCTGCTATATTAAGTGGTCTATATTAAGTGGTCTCCTATATTAAGTGGTCTCCTATATTAAGTGGTCTGCTGTATTAAGTGGTCTGCTATATTAAGTGGTCTCCTATATTAAGTGGTCTCCTATATTAAGTGGTCTCCTATATTAATAACCCTTTGTCGATCTTGGCCGAAAAAATTCGGTATTGATTACGTGTTTTTGGCGCGTGTCATACTTCGCGCCCCGCGCGGCCAGCTTCCCGTTCTTTAGTTCCAACCAATCACAAGCCTTCCCTGAGTCTCTTCAGCTAAGTACAGTTCGCTTCTGCCGCCTTCCCATTGGTTGAGAGATCAAAATATAAACACTAGCGGCTTGGCTTCGAACACACACGCATTTTTCCCTCCACCCTTGCTAATCTACTCTTGGATTATATATTCTACAATGTCGGTAAGTACTGATTGTTGTGTTTAGTGCTTACATGAATAGTTTAGGCATATTTTGATATATACCTAAAGTCCGTGTGAAGCATAATATGAGTGTAGCATACAGTTGAAAAAAGTGCAAGCATTTTAGTCCGAATTATTTCGGTATTGCGCGAGTTTCCGGGAATGTCCAATTTTAGTCAAATAAATATTTATAAAAAATTTTCAATTGCATATATGAACTCTGTAGTGGTCTGGATTTATACAGGAGGTTTCTATTGTCCTTCCAGTTCCATGAGAGGCTGTTTTATGGGGAGCAGTCGACCAGCAGGTCGAGGTATATCTGCGTTTCTGAAGACAGTGACTCGGAACCAGAGGTAGACGAACCAGAATTGCTGGATAGTGGTGATGAATACTTGCCACCGCATGCACAGGATGCAGAGATGTCAAGTGATGATGAGGAGGAAGAAAGGAAAGAAAGGCCAGCCAAAAAGCAGAAAGTAATGAGGAAAAAGAAAACTTTTAGGATTGAGGAATACCCGGATGAGGAAGAGATCCATGAGAATATTGCTCTTCAAGTTTCATCTCAGTGGACCGTAGATGACATTGAAAATGATCCTTTGCCGGCATATGAACATGAAAAGCCTCTTGCAATTAGGTCTCCATATGAGTATTTTCGTATGTTCGTTACTCCAGCCATGATAGATAACATAGTATATCAAACAAATTTGTATACAAGGCAACAAGACGTAAATAGTACTTTTTCAACAGATTCTGAAGAGATCATGAGGTTCATAGGTATTTTGTTGTTCATGGGTATTGCTCCACTACCATCCCTCGAAGACTATTGGAAAGCTGCTTTTAGGAGCCCACAGGTTGCAGATAGCATGGCGTCTAAGAGGTTTAGGTACCTTAGAAGTCATATTCATTTCAATGACAACACAAAAAAGGATAATGACAGATTCTACAAAGTAAGGCCTCTTTACACTGAACTAACTAATGCTTGCTTGAAAATTCCAGCTACACCCAAGCAATCTATTGATGAAGTCATGGTTGGTTTCAAGGGTAAAACTGCTGGAAACCTAAGGCAGTACATCAAAACAAAACCAGATAAGTGGGGTTTCAAACTTTTTTGTCGTGCAAGTCAAGATGGACTCATACATGATATACTCATGTATCAAGGCACAACAACTTTTGACACACATCCCATACAGCTGCCACAGGAAGAATCTAAACTTCCAATAAGTACAAAGATTGTTCTGGTACTTGCACAAACTATGAACAAGACAAACACATCAGCAATCTATGCTGACAATTTCTTTTCAAGTATGCCTTTGGTCAAGCTACTAAGAGATAAGTATAACTGCAGATACACTGGAACAGTACGTGACAATAGATGTGGTAAGCCACATCTGGTGCCTATCAAACAAATGGAAAAAAACAGTGTGGTCAGGGGCAATTTTTGCTTCAACAACAATGATGGTGTCCTTGTTGTACGATGGAAGGACACCAAAGTTGTGACTTTAGTGACAACTGATATTGGGGTCGAGCCCATGAGTCTTGTTGAGAGATATAACAAGGGTACAAAGAGGAAAGAGAAAATATCGTGCCCTGCAGTCATCAAGAACTATAATGCAAACATGGGAGGTATTGACAAAAGCAACATGTTGGTGCATCTCTACAAAACACCAATGAAATCAAAACGTTGGTACATGCGGCTATTTGCCTATATTATTGATCTTGCTGTTGTGAATGCATGGGTGCTTTATTGCCGTGATTCTCGAGCAATAAAGCAAAAGTGTATGCAACTGAAGTATTTCAGGAATTCTATCTCTGAAATTGCAAGGTCTAAAGGACAAAACCTTAGAGGGAGCAGCCTAAGAACAACTCCAAGACCTTCACCAACTAATTCACCATGTACTTCCAATGGTGTTGGCATAGTGAAACCTGGGAGGGGAAAACATACAGAAATGCCTGATGACAGTGTTAGGAAAGACCTTAGTCTAATGCACTTCCCAATGGCAGGGCAAAGGCCGTTTACTTGCAAGTATTGCAGCACCTCGAAAAAAACGGTAACATCGTCATTCATCTGTAGTGTATGCAAAGTAAATCTGTGCATAAAGACTGATAGAAATTGTTTCACAGACTTCCATCTTGCCATTTAGCAATATAGAATCATTGGTCTTCCAAATGAATCTCAGGAATATAGGGATTGAAACTTGCATCACTTTGCAATTTGGCATTGTTGATATTTGCTTCCTTTTCATATTTTTGTAACAATTAAAAAATGTTTTGATAAAAGTTCCATTTATGTTTTTTATATTGTCTGTTTGTATATTAAATTTAAAAAATTGTTTTGGTGTGTTTTATTAACAATTGCAAGTTTGCAACATAGAATTTTTTAATCACTTTGTCGGGGGCGGCCTAATATTTTCGGTCTTCGGAGATTGGCAATTGCTCGAAAACTAACCATCAGAAATCAATTTATATGGGATCAGTGACCTTGTATTGAGTTACTCTATCCACCATAGGGAGTTCAGTTCGAATTTCAAATTTTCGGACCCCTTGCGCGATGAAGGGTTAAGTGGTCTCCTATATTAAGTGGTCTGCTGTATTAAGTGTTCTGCTATATTAAGTGGTCTGCTATATTAAGTGGTCTGCTATATTAAGTGGTCTGCTATATTAAGTGGTCTGCTGTATTAAGTGGTCTGCTATATTAAGTGGTCTGTTATATTAAGTGGTCTGCTATATTAAGTGGTCTGCTATATTAAGTGGTCTGCTATATTAAGTGGTCTGCTATATTAAGTGGTCTATATTAAGTGGTCTGCTATATTAAGTGGTCTGCTATATTAAGTGGTCTGCTGTATTAAGTGGTCTGCTATATTAAGTGGTCTGCTATATTAAGTGGTCTGCTATATTAAGTGGTCTGCTATATTAAGTGGTCTATATTAAGTGGTCTGCTATATTAAGTGGTCTGCTATATTAAGTGGTCTGCTATATTAAGTGGTCTGCTATATTAAGTGGTCTGCTATATTAAGTGGTCTGCTATATTAAGTGGTCTGCTATATTAAGTGGTCTATATTAAGTGGTCTGCTATATTAAGTGGTCTGCTATATTAAGTGGTCTGCTATATTAAGTGGTCTGCTGTATTAAGTGGTCTGCTATATTAAGTGGTCTGCTATATTAAGTGGTCTGCTATATTAAGTGGTCTATATTAAGTGGTCTGCTATATTAAGTGGTCTGCTATATTAAGTGGTCTGCTATATTAAGTGGTCTGCTATATTAAGTGGTCTGCTATATTAAGTGGTCTGCTATATTAAGTGGTCTGCTATATTAAGTGGTCTATATTAAGTGGTCTGCTATATTAAGTGGTCTGTTATATTAAGTGGTCTGCTATATTAATTTGGTCTGCTATATTAAGTGGTCTGCTGTATTAAGTGGTCTGCTATATTAAGTGGTCTGCTATATTAAGTGGTCTGCTATATTAAGTGGTCTGCTATATTAAGTGGTCTGCTATATTAAGTTGTCTGCTATATTAAGTTGTCTGCTATATTGTCTGCTATATTAAGTGGTCTGCTATAAGATAAGATAAGATAAGATTTCGTTCGGATTTTTAACCCCGGAGGGTTAGCCACCCAGGATAACCCAAGAAAGTCAGTGCGTCATCGAGGACTGTCTAACTTATTTCCATTGTGGTCCTTAATCTTGTCCCCCAGGATGCGACCCACACCAGTCGACTAACACCCAGGTACCTATTTGCTGCTAGGTGAACAGGACAATAGGTGTAAGGAAACGTGTCGAAATGTTTCCACCCGCCGGGAATCGAACCCGGGCCCTCCGTGTGTGAAGCGGGAGCTTTAGCCACCAGGCCACCGGGCCACCACCAGGCCAGTTTATAATCACTTCAGGTCAGCTCAGATCTTCACAAAAGTTTAACTAAGTATTACCAAGTTTAACATTAATATCTTAAGGTAAAAAATTGTGTTATTTCCCTATATAAAGTGGAACTTAAGGACCACAATGGTACTAAGTCGCACTAACTATTTTGTGTTATTCTGGTGGATTATTTACTTAAGTCTATGTTAACCTGAGTAAACTTACTTATTTGTGGAAAGTATTTAATTTCCGAAGCTCTAGTGCCTAATGGGTGTTTAATGTGTTGATGTGGGTCAGGAAATGTATTTGAAAATGGACTAGAACCAACAGGGAAGCTCTGCGCCTGTGCTGATGGGCTGGGGAGAGGTCGAGACGGGTCATCAGGGAGACGGGGCATCAGGGAGATGGGGCATCAGGGAGACGGGGCATCAGGGAGACGGGGCATCAGGGAGATGGGGCATCAGGGAGATGGGGCATCAGGGAGACGGGCATCAGGGAGACGGGGCATCAGGGAGACGGGGCATCAGGGAGCGGGAGTGTTTTGAATTGAGTTAAGAGGCTGGGAAAGCATGGGACCAGGAAATTGGCGTTCACGGCAGACTAAGGATTAATATAGGCCTCACTTCATAATAGGAAGTGTCGTAGCTGTTCCTGGTGAGGAGTGAGGGAACGTGATTGACGGGACCACCGTAATAAAGTGGTAAAATTAGTGAATAATGGTAGGACCACCGACGCCATGGAGTGTGTCCAGGGGAAAGTACCCGTGATTTAACCATCACTCATCAGTCTCAGATCTTAATGGAGTGACCTCTAATGTGTATAATAATTATGAGACATAAAATCGTTGTGTGGATTGTAATGTAATCGCTGATAATAACACTAAGTTAAGAGAATGTGTGAAGTGAAATAAGTTGCCTTGCTCCGAATGAACACGTGGAGTCCTCGTGGTTCCTGTCCCGAGGATAGTGAAGTTTTTATGGGGTCCCGACTTCTAAACCGGGACAAACCAACGGATACCTCGTCCTGCTGGTTATTCCGTGTTGGTGTAACAGGACATCGAAATGAGATAGTGAATTGAGGAAATAAGGAGCATCAATCACCCACAGTTAAGTAACCCTTCTAGTTATAGCAGACTGATACTGGCCAGTTAGGTATGTTGTAATTGGATAGGTTATGGGTGATCAAGCTACATCAAGTGACCACCAGAGAACATCTGGTAAATGGTGGGATTATTAACAAATGTTTTTCCTTGATGGATGTATCCATGTGTATCCTAATCCCCCCCCCCTTCATTCAGTTAAACTAATATAATCTATACAGTCCACAATTATTTAGTAGTGCCGTACTTGTGGGTGCTATCCAATTTATACTGGTCTCGGATAGATATGGATAAGATTGTGAGGTCGAAGGGACCACCTGCAGGGACCAGGGGTGTTAAATTTTCTCACATGTCTACACGGGGTGACTACGGTAAACAATATGGCTGTTGTTTCCCAATGAGATTACTTGTATGCATATAACGTTGAGGTACATACAGGTAACCCCCTATAAAATTTTCCATATTATTTACATACTTATTTGTGTACGTACTTACGTTACTTATTTACATTCTTCCAACAGGGTGAAATTGCAGAGGAGAATAAGGCATTATGGCAGCGCTGGCCTCTAAGGACTTGTATACAAATTTGCAAGATATTAAATTATCGGAGGCCGACTTGCAGCAGTTCTGTTGTCCTCGTGCACACTGGCAGCCAGGACATGTTCTTCTCTATAACATCGACCAGAGTTGCAATCGTTTCACCTGCAGGTCAGGTCAACGCATCTGTGTGCGGTGCGGTGCTAATTACCTGGTGGATAGTGAGGGTTATGTGTGCTGTGGGGGTGCGGATAACACTGAAGTGATCTGCAACCATCACTGTTGCAAAAGCTCATCTTGCATGGGTGACTCTTCATGTCATGTCTGCAACAGACCATTAGACATGACTAAATACCCTCACTGTTCTACTCACTTGTATCACGTCTCCGACGAAATTGAAACTGATACTCTTACTGGATTTATCAACACAAATCTTAAGGAAAGCATCAGTGAAAAATCCATATATGCTCTGAGCTGTGATATGGTTTATACCACAACTGGATTGGAAGTTGCAGCCATATCTATGGTTAACTCTGACTGTCAGGTGGTGTATGAGACTAAAGTCAAGCCTAAATCCACAATCATTGACTACAATACGGAGCATTCGGAAATCATAATGGAGGAATACTTAGGTCTGCAGAAGAAATTATCTCGGAGAGCTCCATCGATACTAAAAGAAATTAAGAGAAGACTAAGCGTTGGAAAGGCCTCCTTGTTGCGACGTTTTGGATACGATGGAAGGTCATCTCGCAAAAAAGTCCACAAAAAATTGCTCAAACTGATTGGGAGTGACACGATTCTAATTGGTCATGACCTGGGCTTCCACTTACTCAGGTTGAGAGTGATACATGACAACATTGTGGACACGGTTGCCCTGTACCCACATGAGAATGGCTTCCCTAATCGTATCTCGCTGGCAAGTTTAAAAAGCAAGTACCTGAAATGCACTACAACTACTGTCTTGGGTTTTAAGTGTCGTGGCGATGCCCAGACAGCCATGCAACTTGTCAAACTTAAGTGCTAGACTTGACTCAAAATTTTTTTTTCAGTTAACCGGCCATATTCCACCAAGGCCGGATGACCTAAAAATTAAAATAAAAGTTTCTTAATAAATTTATCAGTTTATACAGGAGAAGGGGTTACAAGCCCTTGCTGCCGGCATTTTAGTTGCCTCTTATGCTGTAAAATATGTATTCACTGGTGGACCTACACATTTGGATCCCTGAAGCTTGGACTGTTATGGGTCCCTGAAGCTTGAACTGTTATGGGGTCCCTGAAGCTTGAACTGTTATGGGTCCCTGAAGCTTGAACTGTTATGGGGTCCCTGAAGCTTTAACTGTTATGGGTCCCTGAAGCTTGGACTGTTATGGGTCCCTGAAGCTTGAACTGTTATGGGGTCCCTGAAGCTTGAACTGTTATGGGTCCCTGAAGCTTGAACTGTTATGGGTCCCTGATACTTGAACTGTTATGGGTTCCTGAAGCTTGAACTGTTATGGGGTCCCTGAAACTTGAACTGTTATGGGTCCCTGATACTTAAACTGTTATGGGGTCCCTGAAGCTTGAACTGTTATGGGTTCCTGAAGCTTGAACTGTTATGGGGTCCCTGAAGCTTGAACTGTTATGGGTCCCTGATACTTAAACTGTTATGGGGTCCCTGAAGCTTGAACTGTTATGGGTCCCTGATACTTAAACTGTTATGGGGTCCCTGAAGCTTGAACTGTTATGGGTTCCTGAAGCTTGAACTGTTATGGGGTCCCTGAAGCTTGAACTGTTATGGGTCTTCATGATATTCCACTAACCTTTTAATTATAATTTTACCTATTACTTCATATTGAATTATGCTATATAGTGAACCTCTACTTACGAGTGCACCCACGTGTGAGTTTCTGAAGATACGAGCAGTTGATCGGTGATTTTTTGCTTCCAGGTGCGAGCGAAATTTCCAGATGCGAGCGGGCCTCAAGGGAGGTTCCTTGACGCTGGTGAGGGACTCTTGCTCTTGATCTAGGGAATTGGATCTCATTTGTTTGTTGGAGTATCTTATTGAAACTTGGGCAATGTATGATGGAAAGATGCTTCTTAACGTTCACCAAAATTGACAAATTGAGCCATAAATAACGGAGTTCACTTCTCAGCCGTTACCTGCCTCTTAGCAGTATGCTTTTGTATGGTTTTTATGGTTGTATTATGGATGACATATTACAGAAATAGATATGATTTTGATTGGTTTCATGAAGAAAAGTATCTTGAAATTGAGGTCAAAGTAGCAGAAATGTTCTATTTTTGCCGATGTTCTAGAATAAACAAATGATGTCACCGTCCAATACCTGCCCAACTGTCCATTCCAATACGCAGTCATGAATGGGTTGACATTATTTATACAATTATTACAATAATGCAGTAGTCTGCATAACAGTAAATCTTCTATTTTTTGTGTGAATAAAACTTCCAAATGGTAAGCAAGAGTAATATAAGAATGCATAGGTACTAATAAATAATAATACATATAATAAAAGAATTATATAATAACATACGTAGTATAATAATATAAATTATTATAATACGTACGTACTACTAATAAATAATACTAAAGTTATAATAATATTGTAAATGAGTTTGAGAGTGCCACCACCAGATGGCAGTATTGTGTATCGAAACAATACTCAGTCCGCGTGTGTTTCAACTCACTGTGGAGATAATTCTCGTGATTTGCTTATGTTTCGTGCAGCTGTTTTGCAGAATTTCTTGTTTCTAACCATGGGTCCTAAGAAAGTAAGTGCAAAGGACAGTGCTGGGAAGAAAAAAGAGCCAAAAATTAGGGAATAGTGAAGTGACATAAGTGATGAAGTGTAGCATTAGGCGTGTACCATTAGGAGTGTACCATTAAGAGTGTACCATTAGGAGTGTACCATTAAGAGTAGCATTAAGAGTGTAGCAATTAAGCGATTGAAAAAGGACAAAACGAAATGAACTCATGACAGCATACGCAGCTGTGCCCAGCATCTCTTCTCCACCATCAACCACCAACAATTCTTCTCGAAAGTAAATTATTATTATTGTTTTCCTTGTGAAACTATGTAATCTAATGCTGAGTGCCTTACCAACACTCCATTGTCTGTTATTATGAAAGCATGGGAAGGTATGTAGTCAGGAGCAGGAATGGTTGCTGTGGTGGCCCTATACACCCCCAACAATTACAATGGCTCCCGCTGCCTCCACTACAGGAATGGTTGCTGTGGTGGCCCTATACACCCCCAACAATTACAATGGCTCCCGCTGCCTCCACTACAGGAATGGTTGCTGTGGTGGCCCTATACACCCCCAACAATTACAATGGCTCCCACTGCCTCCACTACAGGAATGGTTGCTGTGGTGGCCCTATACACCCCCAACAATTATAATGGCTCCCGCTGCCTCCATACAGGAATGGTTGCTGTGGTGGCCTATACACCCCAACAATTACAATGGCTCCTGCTGCCTCCACTACAGGAATGGTTGCTGTGGTGGCCCTATACACCCCCAACAATTATAATGGCTCCCGCTGCCTCCACTACAGGAATGGTTGCTGTGGTGGCCCTATACACGCCCAACAATTACAATGGCTCCTGCTGCCTCCACTACAGGAATGGTTGCTGTGGTGGCCCTATACACCCCCAACAATTATAATGGCTCCCGCTGCCTCCACTACAGGAATGGTTGCTGTGGTGGCCCTATACACCCCCAACAATTATAATGGCTCCCGCTGCCTCCACTACAGGAATGGTTGCTGTGGTGGCCCTATACACCCCCAACAATTACAATGGCTCCCGCTGCCTCCACTACCACTATACATGTATGTAATGGCATATTTCATTCATTCTAGTGTGTATATCATGTTTCTGTGTGGTTAATATTGTTTATTATGTAATATTAGATGAATTGTGATAGATAAATAAGCCATAGAGTTGATGTTAGGGAAATATTAAAGTATTTTTTCGTGCCTGGAATTCCACTGGAACGGATTAATTCCATTTCAGTTAATTTAAATGAGGAAAATTGACTACAAACAAGCAAATCCAGATGTGAGCAAGGTCATGGAACGGAATAAGCTCGTAAGTAGAAGTTCCGCCGCATTATTATTATTATATTTTAAAATCCCTTCTTGTACAGTAGACCAAAAAAATTTTAAGTAATGTGGACCAAAGTCACTTCTGGGGCCCCTCTGGGATTAGGGGCCCTCTGGTAGTAAGGGCTCTCAAGATTAAGCTACATTAGTTTGCTAGTAGATCTGGTATACATATACTTAAATATACATAATGCACTAGTATTTGTAGTATACATACAGTTAAATATACATAATGTATTAATATTCATGGTATACATCTATGTGCCTTAAAAACCATTGATCACATTCTTATTATTGTTTATAAATCTTTTTTTGATTTTACGAGATAAATACGATATGCATTTGTCCCTGTAGTAACTCTGAGGGTCAGATGAAGGGCAAGGGCCCAGAGCTGGAAATTCTTAGCAATCTTACCACCACACATTATAATACTGTAATAATAATCTCTATTTCTGTAAATACATGTACAACATTTACAGGAAGTCAGAGACATTACAATTCCCATTTGTTCGTAATTTTTAAGATTTTAGCATTAGATTTATATGATAGATTTATATGATGGACCACAGGGGCATTGACCTCTGGAACTCTCTAGGTATACTCCAGGTAAGGATTTTAATACCATTGACCACAATATTCCTGTATTAATTTTGGTAAAATTATAGATAACATGTTGGGTACAAGGCCACATGTGCGTCTAGTGCCATATTGTACCTAGTAGCTAGTGCTAGTGCTACTAGGTATGTGATGTTTGTAGGATTGATGGCCTAGTAGCTAGATCATTGTGAGTTTTGACTCGTTTCCCACAAGGCAGCCTAAAATAACATGGGTTCAATCCCCGACTACCTGCCGGCCATTTGTTATACACGTACACACACCATATTATTTTTGTATAGTAATTCATGACTGGATTTATAACTTGGTGTCATTGTAACTAGATATATGGTAAATAGTTCATTACCATTGTAACTTTTTGAGGTACAGTCCCTGGACCCCATTATGTGCCTCTATAATATTGAAGTACAGTCTGTGAACCTGTTATATACCTCTGTAATGTTGAGGTACAAACCCTAACAAATTATGTACCTCTGTAATGTTGAGGTACAGTCCTTGGACCACTTATATGCCTCTAATCTTCAAGCTACCACCCACACCATGGGTATACACTGCACAATCACTATATTAACCTAACTAACAATAGTTTTTAAAATTTTCACCCCCTTAAGGATACAGTCTATTATATTGAAAGTCCATTAAATAGGAAGGTCTGTTTTATCGAATTAAAACTCATACCTGTGTCCCAGGGGCTGGGAATATTTGACAGGCTTATTTTTTATACGACAACTCAAAATAATAAAAATTCTCATGAATTTATATATTTTTTGGCCCTTTTAATTTCTATTTCTATTGTAAGATAATTGAAAATACAGTACAACGTCTCCTCACCGATGACTCGGACTTACGACGGGCTCTCTGACCAGTAAATATACCTAAATAATGTATATTAGAGCTGATTTCCTCTATTCTGTTTATTACAATATACAGTACACTACTGTATAAACATTTAAAAATATACCAGAAATGTTATAAATGGTACAAATGTGTCATTAAAGCAATATCAATGATGGTTGACACACACTCACTACCATTATAATATGCTTCTCATAATATGCTCCAGGCCCGGTGGCCTGGTGGCTAAAGCTCCCGCTTCACACACGGAGGGCCCGGGTTCGATTCCCGGCGGGTGGAAACATTTCGACACGTTTCCTTACACCTGTTGTCCTGTTCACCTAGCAGCAAATAGGTACCTGGGTGTTAGTCGACTGGTGTGGGTCGCATCCTGGGGGACAAGATTAAGGACCCCAGTGGAAATAAGTTAGACAGTCCTCGATGACGCACTGACTTTCTTGGGTTATCCTGGGTGGCTAACCCTCCGGGGTTAAAAATCCAAACGAAATCTTATCTTATCTTATGAAGTCTCAGGAATGGAACTCCGTCTTAAGTGAGGAGAGGCTGTATGTCTGTATTCTGCAAATTTTTATAGGCCTGGTCTGGCTATGATTATTGGTTATTGAGACTGGTTGGTTAGTTAATGGGGTTTAAAGTCTATCTACTACACGAGGGTCATTAAAACTGGTTGGTTAGTTAATGGGGTTTAAAGTCTATCTACTACACGAGGGTCATTAAAACTGGTTGGTTGGTTAATGGGGTTTAAAATCTATCTACTACACGAGGGTCATTAAGACTGGTTGGTTGGTTAATGGGGTTTAAAGTCTATCTACTACACGAGGGTCATTAAGACTGGTGATTGTTAATGGGGTTTAAATGGTCTTATCTACTACACGAGGGTCATTAAGACTGGTTGTTGGTTAATGGGGTTTAAAGTCTATCTACTACACGAGGGTCATTAAAACTGGTTGGTTGGTTAATGGGGTTAAAAAGTCTATCTACTACACGAGGTCATTAAAACTGGTGGTTGGTTAATGGGGTTTAAAATCTATCTACTACACGAGGGTCATTAAGGTTGGTTGGTTAATGGGGTTTAAAGTCTATCTACTACACGAGGGTCATTAAGACTGGTTGGTTGGTTAATGGGGTTTAAAGTCTATCTACTACACCAGGGTCTTTAAGGTTGGTTGGTTAATGGGGTTTAAAGTCTATCTACTACACGAGGGTCATTAAGACTGGTTGGTTGGTTAATGGGGTTTAAAGTCTATCTACTACACCAGGGTCATTAAGACTGGTTGGTTGGTTAATGGGGTTTAAAGTCTACCTACTACACCAGGGTCTTTAAGGTTGGTTGGTTAATGGGGGTTAAAGTCTATCTACTACACATTGTACTTTATTTATGTAACTACGATTAATTACAGGTGTAAATTATGGGGTCTGGGTATTAATTAACATAATTATATGGGATTTAAGGCTAATTATTGAACATAAATTTGATCCAAGGAAGATGAGTTCAGCTCTAGTTCCTCACATCAAGATCCCATCACCAGACACCCCATATACTCACCTGTATGAGGCTACAGGGGTCGAGGCACAGCTCCTGGCTCCTGTACTTACCTATATGAGGTTACAGGAGTTGAGTCACAGCTTCTGGTCCCTGTACTCACCTATATGAGGTTACAGGGGTTGAGTCACAGCTCCTGGCCCCTGTACTCATCTATATGAGGCTACAGGGGTTGAGTCACAGCTCCTGGCCCCTGTACTTACCTATATGAGGCTATAGGGGTTTAGTCGCAGATCCTGGTCCCTGCACTCACCTGTATGAGACTACAGGGGTTGAGTCACAGCTCCTGGCCCCTGTACTCATCTATATGAGGCTACAGGAGTCGAATCACAGCTCCTGGCCCCTGTACTTACCTATATGAGGCTATAGAGGTTGAGTCGCAGATCCTGGTCCCTGCACTCACCTGTATGAGACTACAGGGGTTGAGTCACAGCTCCTGGTCCTGCCTCTGTGCTGATCATCCCTCTTAATAATACTCAGAGACATAACATAGATACATCACCTATCATATCTCTCATGGATAGAGAAAATCTTAAATTTTCTTTAAAGATACTAAGATTTTTATTTTTTTTAAATAAAAACATGTTAAGAACATGTCTGCTGCTCCTTAGGCCCTTCTTGCCAGCAAGTCATACATCATGTATACCATGTATACATTGGTCCCAAAAATTGATTTTTGACATAATCTTATTTGAATAAACACAATATTAATAATGCAATAATCATTATAAGCAATCATAATAATAATAATAATGGTAATAAATTATTATTATTATTATTATAATTATTATTATTATTATTATTATGTATTAGGTGTGGGTTAATAGAAAGATGATTTTGATTTAAGTACACTGAAGAAATTTGTTACCAAGTATAATGATAATGATGATGATAATGAGTATGACAGTGATGATACTGACGTGTGTTGGTGGGTAGTGATGGCGCGATGCAAGTCTTGACCAACAGTCACTGGTTTCAGAAGTAGATTCACCTGTGTCACTGGTTTCAGAAGTAGATTCACCTGTGTCACTGGTTTCAGAAGTAGATTCACCTGTGTCACTGGTTTCAGAAGTAGATTCACCTGTGTCACTGGTTTCAGAAGTAGATTCACCTGTGTCACTGGTTTCAGAAGTAGATTCACCTGTGTCACTGGTTTCAGAAGTAGATTCACCTGTGTCACTGGTTCGAGAAGTAGATTCACCTGTGTCACTGGTTTCAGAAGTAGATTCACCTGTGTCACTGGTTTCAGAAGTAGATTCACCTGTGTCACTGGTTTCAGGAGTAGATTCACCTATATCACTGGTTTCAGAAGTAGATTCACCTGTATCACTGGTTTCAGAAGTAGATTCACCTGTGTCACTGGTTTCAGAAGTAGATTCACCTGTATCACTGGTTTCAGAAGGAGATTCACCTGTGTTTCTGTGATGCCTTAAGTTGGAACTTGTGAATTCGAACACGCGAGGGTACGGGTGTGTGTGTATGTTCTCCTGGCATAGGCCTGACAGCTTTCAGTGGTTCAGTCGCCATGTCTGGTAGTGGAGGATTGTAGTGGAATTGAGTAGTCTAGCTCCTTAAAGCAGGGGCATATCCATTTATAGCCAATCTCCATGAGACACGGGCATGTCCCTTATAATCATCCTCCATGAGACACGGGCATGTCCTTTACAGTCAATCTCCACAAGACACAGGCATGTCCTCTATAGACAACGTCCATAAGACACAGGCATGTCCTCTGCAGACAACCTCCATGACACACAGGCATGGCCTCTATATATGATCTCCATAAGACACAGGCATGTCCTCTATATATGACCTCCACAAAACACAAGCAATATCCCTCGCAATTAACCACCATGAGACACGGGCATGTCCCCAGAGGTCAGAGGTAGAGGTGTGAAGCCGTACAGCTGGACTGGCAGGACAGGATGGCCTCCACGACCCAGGATAGTGTTAATACTATCCATACCATCCTGCAGGATTTGGATGGCCCGGGCAGGAAAGCGATACCCCTGGAGGTGCTTAGGGTATTTAGGGCGCCGGAACCTCCCTTCAGGGTACCTGTGGTCATACCCAGGGTAATATTATTATTAAATATATATAAGACAGTTTATTTAATTTGTAAGTCTATTACTGTACAAGACAGTCTAAAATAGAAGTCTATTACTGTACAAGACAGTCTAAAATAGAAGTCTATTACTGTATAAGACAGTCTAAAATAGAAGTCTATTACTGTACAAGACAGTCTAAAATAGAAGTCTATTACTGTACAAGACAGTCTAAAATAGAAGTCTATTACTATTCAAGACAGTCTATCTAATACTGAAGTCTATTGCCATAGAACATTCTATTCAACACAGCAGTCTATTAACTGACCAGTCTAATATAGAAGTCTATTGCTATACAAGAGTGTATTAAAGAAATCATTGTATTACCTGACCAGACAGTCTATCCTGCCATAATCAAGTGGGAGACCCAGAAACTCCATTAACCGGACCGCTTCTTGTTCCAGCCCGTGCTGGAATACACTTTTATTAATATACACTTCAGTATACAACACTTGTATTAATATACACTTCAATATACAACACTTGTATTAATATACACCTCAATATACAACACTTGTATTAATATGCACTTGTACAGTGGACCCCCGCATAACGTTGGCATCGCAAAGTGTTAAATCCGCATAGCGATACATTTTATCGATAAAATTTTGCCTCGCATAGTGCTAAAAAATTCGCTCAACGCGATTCGTCCGAGACACGTCCATGTGGCCTGAGCCAGCCTCACTTGTTCTGCCAGTGGCATTGTTTACAAGCCAGCCTCCGCGGTAACATTCAAGGATACAATCGGAACATTTCGTATTATTACAGCCTTTTTATAGTGATTTCACCTGAAAAATAAGTGACCATGGGCCCCAAGAAAGCTTCTAGTGCCAACCTACAGGAATAAGGGTGAGAATTACTTGGAGATGAAGAAAGAGATCATGCTAAGTATGAAAGTGGAGTGCGTGTCTCGAGCTGGCCAGGTTGTAAAGTAAACCCCAATCAAACACATCGCTCTATGTGTTCAAGAGAATGGCAATCAAGAGGAGCTGTTTCTTGTCAAAGGTTTAACTTGGCTTCGAAACAGAGATCGCAAGTGATAGAAGATGTTGAGAGACTGTTATTGGTGTGGATAAACGAAAAACAGATAGCAGGCGATAGCATCTCTCAAGCGATCATAAGTGAAAAGGCTAGGAAGTTGCACGAGGATTTAATTATAAAAAATGCCTGCAACTAGTGGTGATGCGAGTGAATTTAAGGCCAGCAAAGGTTGGTTTGAGAGATTTAAGAGGCGTAGTGGCATACATAGTGTGATAAGGCATGGTGAGGCTGCCAGTTCAGACCAAAAAGCAGCTGAAAAATATGTGCATGAATTCAAGGAGTACATAGACAGTGAAGGACTGAAACCTGAACAAGTGTTTAATTGGGGACGAAACAGGCCTGTTTTGGAAGAAAATGCCAAGCAGGCCCGTACATTACTCAGGAGGAAAAGGCACTCCCAGGACATAAGCCTATGAAAGACAGGACTTACTTTTTGATATTGCCAATGCTACTGGTGATTGCAAAGTGAAGCCTTTATTAGTGTATCACTCTGAGAACTCCCAGAGCGTTCAGGCAAAAGAATATCCTCAAGGCTAATTTGTGTGTGCTGTGGAGGGCAAACAATAAGGCATGGGTCACTAGGGACTTTTTCTATGACTGGTTACACCATGCATTTGCCCCCAATGTGAAAAATTACCTAACTGAAAAGAAATTAGACCTTAAGTGCCTCCTGGTGTTAGACAATGCCCCTGGTCATCCTACAGACGTGGCAGAGCGACTTTATGGGGACATGAGCTTCATTAAGGTGAAGTTTTTGCCTCCTAATACCACTCCTCTCCTGCAGCCCATGGACCAGCAGGTCATTGCAAACTTCAAAAAACTGTACACAAAAGCTCTATTTGAAAGGTGCTTTGTAGTGACCTCAGAAACTCTATTGACTCTAAGAGAGTTTTGGAGAGAGCACTTTAATATCCTCAATTGTGTAAACCTTATAGGTAAGGCTTGGGAGGGAGTGACTAAGAGGACCTTGAACTCTGCTTGGAAGAAACTGTGGCCAGAATGTGTAGACCAAAGGGATTCTGAAGGATTTGAGGCTAACCCTAAGAATCCTATGCCAGTTGAGGAATCAATTGTGGCATTGGGGAAGTCCTTGGGGTTGGAGGTTAGTGGGGAGGATGTGGAAGAGTTGGTGGAGGAGGACAATGAAGAACTAACCACTGATGAGCTGCTAGATCAACTTCAACAGCAAGAGGCCACACCTGAGGAAATTGCTTCGGAGGAGGGGAGAGAGAAACTGAAGAAGTTGCCTACTTCAAAGATTAAGGAAATCTGTGCAAAGTGGCTTGAAGTGTAAACCTTCATGGATGAAAATCACCCTCACACAGCTATTGCAAGCCGTGCTGGTGACTATTACACTGACACTGTTGTGAAACACTTTAGGAAAGTCATAAAGGAACGAGAGGTACAGGCCACTATGGACAGATATGTTGTGCGACAGAAGTCCAGTGACTCTGAAGCTGGTCCTAGTGGCATTAAAAGAAGAAGGGAAGCAACCCCGGAAAAGGACTTGACACCTCAAGTCCTAATGGAAGGGGATTCCCCTTCTAAACACTAAAACCATCCAGTCTCCCCTCCTCCCATCCCATCAATCATCACCACATCTTCAATAAAGGTAAGTGTCATGTAACTGTTCATGTTTTCTTAAGTTTGTGTGTATTAAAATTAATATTTCATGTGGTAAAATTTTTTTTTTCATACTTTTGGGTGTCTTGCACGGATTAATTTGATTTCCATTATTTCTTATGGGGAAAATTATTTCGCATTACATTGAGCACTCAGGAACGGATTAATAGCGTTATGCGGGGGTCCACTGTATTAATATACACTCTCAGTATACAACACTTGTATTAATATACACTTCAGTATACAACACTTGTACTAATATACACTTCAATATACAACACTTGTATTAATATGCACTTCAGTATACAACACTTGTATTAATATACACTCAGTATACGAGTGTACACATACCTGGAGGTGTACACATACCTGGAGGTGTACACATACCTGGAGGAGTACACATACCTGGAGGAGTACACATACCTGGAGGCGTACATAGCACACATACCTGGAGATGCTCATAATGTAGAACATGTACATCAGTGTTGGGTACACTTAACCAAGCAGTGTTCAGGCTGACCCACATCTCTGCTCTCTCTACTGTGAAGTTCCTCCAGTCTGCAAGCATATGTGTTTATGAGCACCTAGGTGTCGTTATTGATGAATAAGACACATGTACAACACCTGGGTGTCTTTATTGATGTAAAATCTTATCCTAAAGACACGCAGGTGTTGTACATGTGTCTTATTCATCAATAAAGACACCCAGGTGTTGCACATGTGTCTTATTCATCAATAAAGACACCCAGGTGTTGCACATGTGTCTTATTCATCAATAAAGACACCCAGGTATTGCACATGTGTCTTATTCATCAATAAAGTCACCCAGGTGTTGTACATGTGTCTTATTCATCAATAAAGACACCTAGGTGTTGTACATGTGTCTTATTCATCAATAAAGACACCCAGGTGTTGTACATGTGTCTTATTCATCAATAAAGACTCCTAGGCATTACACCTAAGACTAGTCTAGAGACTTACTAGTACCCCTGAAGTAGCTAGAACTAGCAAAGCCAGTGTGACCAGCAGCATGGTAGTGTCTCAGGGCTAGTAGGGACTCCCAGGGACTTCTCACAAGGATCACCACCTTCCTTGGCGCCTTAGGTAGAAGGAACCGGAACTCCTCTCCCTTGTAGATTCCATCTTGTAGAACTGTAGGTGTAAATGAAGGGTGTTAGAACTAGGCTGGGGCTACAAGAACACCTCTACAAGGTGTTAAGACTAGTCTGGGGCTACAAGAACACTTCAACAAGGTGTTAAGACTAGCCTGGGGCTACAAGAATACTTCGACAAAGTGTTAAGATTAGCCTGGGGCCACAAGAATACTTCTACAAGGTTTTAGGAACAGCCTGGGGCTACAAGAACACTTCTCCAAGATGTTAAGAATAGCCTGGGGCTACAAGAGCACTTCTACTAGGTGTTAAGACTTGCCTGGGTCTACAAGAACACTTCTACAAAGTGTTAAGACTAGCCTCAGGCTACAAGAACACGTCTACAAGATTTTGGGACAATCCTGGGGCTACAGGAACACTTCTACGAGGTGTTAAGACTAGCCTTGGGCTACAAGAATACTTCTACAAGGCTTTAGGACCAGCTTGGGGCTACAAGAACACTTCTACAAGGTGTTAAGTCTACCCTGAGGCTACAAGAACACTTCTACAAGGTGTTAAGACTAGCCTGGGGCTACAAGAACACTTCAACAATTGTTAAGACTAGCCTGGGGCTACAAGAGCACTTCTACAAGGTGTTAAGACTAGCTTGGGTCTACAAGAACACTTCTACAGAGCGTTAAGACTAGCCTGGGGCTACAAGAACACGTTTAAAAGGCGTTAAAGTTAGCCTGGGGCTACATGAACACTTCTATGAGCTGTTAAGCTAGCCTGGGGCTACAAGAATATTTCTACATGGCTTTAGGACCAGCCTTTGGCTACAAGAACATTTCTACAAGGTGTTAAAACTAGCCTGTGTCTAAAAGAACACTTCTACAAGGTGTTAAGACTAGCCTGGGTCTACCAGAACACTTCTACAAGGTGTTAAGACTAGCCTGGGACTACAAAAACACGTCTACAAGGTGTTAAGACTAGCCTTACGCTACAAGTACACTTCTACAAGGTATTAAGACTAGCCTGGGGCTACAAGAACACGTCTACAAGGTGTTACGACTAGACTTGGTTTACAAGAACAATCTACAAAGTGTTTAGACTAGCCTGGCGCTACTACAACACGTCTACAAGGTGTTAAGACTAGCCTGGGGCAATTATAACACTTTACAAGGTGTTAAGATTAGCCTGGGGCTACTATAACACTTCTACAAGGTGTTAAGACTATCCTGGGGCTACTACAACATGTCTACAAGGAACTACAACTAGCCTGGGGCTACTACAACACTTCTACAAGGTGTTAAAAATAGCCTGGGGCTACTATAACACTTCTACAAGGTGTTAAGACTAGCCTGGGGCTACTACAACACTTCTACAAGGTGTTAAGACTATCCTGGGGCTACTACAACATTTCTACAAGGTGTTAAGACTATCCTGGGGCTACTACAACACTTCTACAAGGTGTTAAGACTATCCTGGGCTACTACAACACATCAACAAGGAGTTTAAGACTATCCTGGGCTACTACAACACTTTACAAGGTGTTAAGACTATCCTGGGGCTACTACAACACTTCTACAAGGTGTTAAGGCTATCCTGGGGCTACTACAACACTTCAACAAGGTGTTAAGACTATCCTGGGGCTACTACAACACTTCTACAAGGTGTTAAGACTATCCTGGGCTACTAACAACACTTCTACAAGGTGTTAAGACTATCCTGGGGCTACTACAACACTTCTACAAGGTGTTAGGACTATCCTGGGGCTACTACAGCACTTACAAGGTTTTTAAGACTATCCTGGGCTACTACAACACTTCTACAAGGTGTTAAGACTATCCTGGGGCTACTACAACACTTCTACAAGGTGTTAAGACTATCCTGGGGCTACTACAACACTTACAAGGTGTTAAGACTATCCTGGGGCTACTACAATACTTCTACAAGGTGTTAAGACTATCCTGGGGCTACTACAACACTTCTACAAGGTGTTTAAGACTATCCAGGGGCTACTACAACACTTCTACAAGTGTTTAGACTATCCTGGGGCTACTACAACACTTCTACAAGGTGTTAAGACTATCCTGGGCTACTAACAACACTTCTACAAGGTGTTAAGACTATCCTGGGTCTACTACAACACTTCAAGGTGTTACAGACTATCCTGGGGCTACTACAACACTTCTACAAGGTGTTAAGACTATCCTGGGGCTACTACAACACTTCTACAAGGTGTTAAGACTATCCTGGGGCTACTACAAACACTTCTACAGGTGTTAAGACTATCCTGGGGCTAGTACAAACACTTCTACAAGGTGTTAAGACTACCTGGGCTACATACAAACACTTCACAGAGGTGTTAAGACTATCCTGGGCTACTACAACACTTCAACAAGGTGTTAAGACTATCCTGGGGCTACTACAACACTTCTACAAGGTGTTAAGACTATCCTGGGGCTACTACAACACTTCTACAAGGTGTTAAGACTATCCTGGGGCTACTACAACACCTATACAAGGTGTTAAGACTATCCTGGGGCTACTACAACACTTCGACAAGGTGTTAAGACTATCCTGGGGCTACTACAACACTTCAATAAGGTGTTAAGACTATTCTGGGGCTACTACAACACTTCTACAAGGTGTTAAGACTATGCTGGGGCTACTACAACACTTCTACAAGGTGTTAAGACTATCCTGGGGCTACTACAACACTTCTACAAGGTGTTAAGACTATCCTGGGGCTACTACAACACTTCTACAAGGTGTTAACACTATCCTGGGGCTACTACAACACTTCTACAAGGTGTTAAGACTATCCTGGGCTACTACAACACTTCTACAAGGTGTTAAGACTATCCTGGGGCTACTACAACACTTCTACAAGGTGTTAAGACTATCCTGGGGCTACTACAACACCTCTACAAGTGTGATAAGACTATCCTGGGGCTACTACAACACTTCGACAAGGTGTTAAGACTATCCTGGGGCTACTACAACACTTCTACAAGGTGTTAAGACTATCCTGGGGCTACTACAACACTTCTACAAGGTGTTAAGACTATCCTGGGCTACTACAACACTTCTACAAGGTGTTAAGACTATCCTGGGCTACTACAACACTTCTACAAGGTGTTAAGACTATCCTGGGGCTACTACAACAATTCTACAAGGTGTTAAGACTATCCTGGGGCTACTACAACACTTCTACAAGGTGTTAAGACTATCCTGGGGCTACTACAACACTTCTACAAGGGTTAAGACTATCCTGGGGCTACTACAACACTTCTACAAGGTGTTAAGACTATCCTGGGGCTACTACAACACTTCTACAAGGTGTTAAGACTATCCTGGGGCTACTACAACACTTCAACAAGGTGTTAAGACTATCCTGGGGCTACTACAACACTTCAACAAGGTGTTAAGACTATCCTGGGGCTACTACAACACTTCAACAAGGTGTTAAGACTATCCTGGGGCTACTACAACACTTCAACAAGGTGTTAAGACTATCCTGGGGCTACTACAACACTTCTACAAGGTGTTAAGACTATCCTGGGGCTACTACAACACTTCTACAAGGTGTTAAGACTATCCTGGGGCTACTACAGCACTTCAACAAGGTGTTAAGACTATCCTGGGGCTACTACAACACTTCTACAAGGTGTTAAAACTATCCTGGGGCTACTACAACACTTCTACAAGATGTTAAGACTATCCTGGGGCTACTACAACACTTCTACAAGGTGTTAAGACTATCCTGGGGCTACTGCAACACTTCTACAAGGTGTTAAGACTATCCTGGGGCTACTATAACACTTCAACAAGGTGTTAAGACTATCCTGGGGCTACTATAACACTTCTACAAGGTGTTAAGACTATCCTGGGGCTACTACAACACTTCAACAAGGTGTTTAAGACTATCCTGGGGTCTACTACAACACTTCTACAAGGTGTTAAGGACTATCCTGGGGCTACTACAACACTTCTACAAGGTGTTAAGACTATCCTGGGCTACTACAACACTTCAAGAAGGTGTTAAGACTATCCTGGGGCTACTACAACACTTCTACAAGGTGTTAAGACTATCCTGGGGCTACTACAACACTTCTACAAGGTGTTAAGACTATCCTAGGGCTACTACAACACTTCTACAAGGTGTTAAGACTATCCTGGGGCTACTACAACACTTCTACAAGGTGTTAAGACTATCCTGGGGCTACTACAACACTTCTACAAGGTGTTAAGAACTATCCTTGGGCTACTACAACACTCTACAAGGTGTTAAGACTATCCTGGGCTACTACAACACTTCTACAAGGTGTTAAGACTATCCTGGGGCTACTACAACACTTCTACAAGGTGTTAAGACTATCCTGGGGCTACTACAACACTTCCACAAGGTGTTAAGACTATCCTGGGGCTACTACAACACTTCTACAAGATGTTAGGACTATCCTGGGGCTACTACAACACTTCTACAAGGTGTTAAGACTATCCTGGGGCTACTACAACACTTCTACAAGGTGTTAGGACTATCCTGGGGCTACTACAACACTTCTACAAGGTGTTAAGGCTATCCTGGGGCTACTACAACACTTCTACAAGGTGTTAAGACTATCCTGGGGCTACTACAACACTTCTACAAGGTGTTAAGACTATCCTGGGGCTACTACAACACTTCTACAAGGTGTTAAGACTATCCTGGGGCTACTACAACACTTCTACAAGGTGTTAAGACTATCCTGGGCTACTACAACACTTCTACAAGGTGTTAAGACTATCCTGGGGCTACTACACAACACTTCTACAAGGTGTTAAGACTAGCCTGGGGCTACTACAACACTTCTACAAGGTGTTAAGACTAGCCTGGGGCTACAAGAACACTTCTACAAGGTGTTAAGACTATCCTGGGGCTACTACAACACTTCTACAAGGTGTTAAGACTATCCTGGGCTACTACAACACTTCTACAAGGTGTTAAGACTATCCTGGGGCTACTACAACACTTCCACAAGGTGTTAAGACTATCCTGGGCTACTACAACACTTCTACAAGGTGTTAAGACTATCCTGGGGCTACTACAACACTTCTACAAGGTGTTAAGACTATCCTGGGGCTACTACAACACTTCTACAAGGTGTTAAGACTATCCTGGGGCTACTACAACACTTCCACAAGGTGTTAAGACTATCCTGGGGCTACTACAACACTTCTACAAGGTGTTAAGGCTATCCTGGGGCTACTACAACACTTCTACAAGGTGTTAAGACTATCCTGAAAATGTTAGTGTTCGTTATAGCAAAGTGCGACATTGTTGTTCGTTATAGCAGGTATCTAATAAGAGATAGGGTCTTTTGTAAAGTCCGTTATAGCAAGGTTTAACTACTGTGTCATGATAACCTCGCTAAGACACACCACTGCCTTCCATCACTGCAATATACACAGTTATACACGAGTATACACTATGTATATTTTAAACCATTATACAGAATAATTCACTATAGGTAGATGTACGTAATAACAAGTCGTGCGTTATACAGTGACCTTCTGGTAGCAATGGGTAGCTGTGAGTTTTCTGTAGCAGTGTAGTCCCCTGTCTGTAGCCGTCCCTCTCTCCCAGGAACCCTGTGTGGGGAGATTTAGTCATGATATACATGATACTACACTGTAATGGGGAGATATAGTCTTGATATACATGATACTACACTGTAATGGGGAGATATAGTCATGATATACATGTTAGTACACTGTAGTGGGGAGAGATAGTCATGATATACATGATAGTACACTGTAGTGGGGAGATATAGTCTTGATATACATGATACTACACTGTAGTGGGGAGATATAGTCATGATATACATGATACTACACTGTAATGGGGAGATATAGTCATGATATACATGTTAGTACACTGTAGTGGGGAGATATAGTCATGATATACATGATAGTACACTGTAGTGGGGAGATATAGTCATGATATACATGTTAGTACACTGTAGTGGGGAGATATAGTCTTGATATACATGATACTACACTGTAGTCGGGAGATATAGTCATGATATACATGTTAGTACACTGTAGTGAGGAGATATAATCATGATATACATGATAGTACACTGTAGTGGGGAGATACAGTCATGATATAAATGATAGTACACTGTAATGGGGAGATATAGTCTTGATATACATGATACTACACTGTAGTGGGGAGATATAGTCATGATATACATGATAGTACACTAATGGGGAGATATAGTCTTGATATACATGATACTACACTGTAGTGGGGAGATATAGTCATGATATACATGATACTACACTGTAGTGGGGAGATATAGTCATGATATACATGTTAGTACACTGTAGTGGGGAGATATAGTCATGATATACATGATAGTACACTGTAATGGGGAGATATAGTCATGATATACATGTTAGTACACTGTAGTGGGGAGATATAGTCATGATATACATGATACTACACTGTAGTGGGGAGATATGGTCATGATATACGTGATACTACAGTGTAGAGGGGAGATATAGTTATGATATGCATAATACTACACTGTAGTGGGGAGATATAGTCTTGATATACACTGTGGTGGGAGATATAGTCATGATATCCATGATATTAGGTGAGGAGATATAACCAGGACATACACGATACTTACCACTAAGTGCCAACACTTCATCATGGTAAACTGAACCAGTAAAGACACCAGTAAGTGTTTGAACCAGATACCTGAGCCAGGTATTACCTGAACCAGGGAAGGATACCAGTGGTATCAGTGGGCAACCACCACCTACCAGGAACCTGCAATATTAACATATAAATATATCAGAAATTAGCAAGGTATTAATATATATATATATATATATATATATATATATATATATATATATATATATATATATATATAATAATATATATATATATATATATAATATATATATAATATATATATTAGGTAAGGTTTGTCAGGACACAAGACAAGTGTTTCCTGACGCTGGTCTGTTATATGACCCAGAGTTGGAGGTAAACTGACAGAGGCCTTCCACTGGCTTCCCTCTCCACATACGGCCTCGGGTATATTTTGACCAAGACTTAATGTTGTGGATCCGTTTATTACATTCACCTTTGAGAAATAAGTGGAATCTAATAGTAACAGCCTGGTTGATCAGGTCCTGATCCTCCCGGAGGCGTGCATAGAGAAAATTGATCGATATTACTCTATTAATCTATCTATCTATCACGTACCTGGTGGCGTAGTTAGAACACTCGTCTCTGGTAGTTCGCCAGGGATAGTAGGATGGTCGTGAATAGTCGTACAGTAATAGGAGAGGTTGGTGACCCCTTGGACTAGGTAGTGGCCCTTCTGGGGCCTCTAAATGGCCCTCGTGTTCTCCTGGAGGTAGATAGGCTCCTCCTAGGCTCCTAGCAGGGTTAATTCCTAGGTAGGTTTCACCTAGGCTCCAACCAGCGTTAATTCCTGTAGAGTGATCAATACGTCGGCCAGTAGAGAGCAAAGAGAATTGACGCTCTTCCCAACGCCCTTTTCTCTTATATTCCTCTATCCTGTACCTCCCATTGACCCTTTTCAACGAAAACCCCTTCTGTTTAACGGCGTGTGTCCCGTTAAACCCGTTTCGGTAACCCCTGTTGACGTTAACATAATAATCACTGTTAAAGTCACTGTTTTTATGAGATTTTGTGTCACTGAGAGAGGTGCTGGGTTTCAAATTTGGCTGTTTGGTGGGGTTTCTAGGGATTTTTGGAGTTTCTATGACCTCACGAAGGAAGTATTGGGACTTCTCTGGGAGGTCCTTGGAGTTTTCGAGTGGAGTGACTCTCTGGAGGGCGTACGAAGTGGAGGAAGAGTGGAGGACTAGCAGAAGAAGGGACAGTCCAGTGGAGGCACTTAAGACAGCAAGAATTCTTTGTTTGCGTCTGAGATGGCAACAGCGGGTACAGGATGTGCGGTGGACCGGTCCAGGGATGCACACCATATCAACTAGTGGTCCAACAGGGCCACAACGGCTGTTTAGTGGCCCAGCTGGGTCACAGTGGCTGTTTAGTGGCCCACAATGGCCTGAAACTCGGCCCTCTGGGATCCCAGCAACACCACAACGGTTCACTAGTGTCCCACAGGTACGTACCAGTGGTTCAACTGGTCCACAGTGCTTACTCACAAGTGGTCCATGACCAGCAGACCGTCTGCCCACCATACTCAGGGCCACACTGTGCAACATTCCACCTGCTCTTCGACACTGCAACCACACGACACCAAATCTGCCAGAACCACGATAACACCTCCCCACATTCAGTACTCCCACACACTTTACCCACACTCTACACCTCCCACACACTGTCTCCCACACTCTCGACCCTCCCACACTATGTACCCCACACTAAAGACCGATTCCGTTAACGAATAGCCCCTATTAACGCCTTCGTTAGTCCTCTAACAACGCAAATCTTTATATAATTTTGTCGCATCTAAAATTGCATGAGTCAATGTTATTGGTATTTTTTGAGAGGATTATAAACCCGTATGGGTTATATAGACCTCGGGAAATGGGGGATAGATCAGGTATATACCTTGGATAGCAAGGAGGATAGCTCCGGAATCGGTTGGTTTAAAAATCGGTTGGCAGGACATCAGGAACCGGTTGAAGTTATAAATCCGTTGGCAGGAAATCAGGAACCGGTTGAGGTTAAAAATCGGTTGGCAGGAAATCAGGAACTGATTCAAGAGGTGAGAAACCGGCTGCACTGTCTGGCCAGAGGGGTCTAAGGCACTCTGGAATACTCTGATCTGCCCACCACTGGCATCTAGCCACTCAGAACGCCCAGTGTTGCATACGAGGCTATATATCGACTAATCAGAACGTCAGAGATCGCCCAAGGGGGCTTCTGATTGGCTTAAAATGACCGTCCAATCAGGGGGAAATCGGGTACTTGTGTCTAGGTATGAGCAATGGGCTGTTTAAGTTGAGTCAGTTTAGTTCTGTGACCCAGGGTGTTTCTGGGGAGAGAGAGAGAGAGAGAGAGAGAAGAGAGAGAGAGAGAGAGAGAGAGAGGAGAGAAGAGAGAGAGACGAGAGGAGAGAGAGAGAGGAGAAAAGAGGAGAGAGAGAGAGAGAGAGAGAGAGGAGAGAAGAGAGAGAAGAGAGAGGGGAGAGAGAGAGACAGAGAGAGAGAGAGAGAGAGAGAAGACAGAGAGACAGAGACAGAGAGAGAGAGAGAGAGAGAGAGAAGACAGAGAGAGAGAGAGAGAGAGGAGACAGAGAGAGAGAGGAGAGAGAGAGAGAGAGAGAGAGAGAGAGAGAGAGAGAGAGAGAGAGAGAGAGACAGAGAGAGAGAGAGAGAGAGAGAGAGAGAGAGAGAGAGAGAGAGAGAGAGACGAGACAGAGCGCACAGAAAGAGATCAATCAGGAGAGAGAGGGAAGAATACGACAATTAAGTATGACAGATCAGAGACAGACTCTGGTACAGAACCCACAGGAGGGTTATTGTCAGAGAACAAGAGTGGGTAGAGAGAGGTAGGGAGAACACAAGTGGGGTTAGTGTACCCACAGGTGGGATGACAGAAGGGGTCAGAGAGACAAAGAGAGGATAAGAGACCGCACAAGTGGGAGTAGAGACAAGTGGGTTAGAGTGACCCAGAAAGTGGGATGTAGCGCACCTTGGGCGTATTGATCACTCAGGGGGGGGTTTATTAGTTATCCCAAACAAGTAGGTTATTGTACCCACAAGTGGGTTATTGTACCCACAAGTGGTTATTGTACCCACAAGTGGGTTATTGTACCCACAAGTGGGTTATTGTACCCACAAGTGGGTTATTGTACCCACAAGTGGGTTATTGTACCCACAAGTGGGTTATTGTACCCACAAGTGGGTTATTGTACCCACAGGTGGGTTATTGTACCCACAAGTGGGTTATTGTACCCACAGTGGGTTATTGTACCCACAAGTGGGTTATTGTACCCACAAGTGGTTATTGTACCCAAAAGTGGGTTATTGTACCCACAAGTGGGTTATTGTACCCAAAAGGTGGGTTATTGTACCCACAAGTGGGTTATTGTACCCACAAGTGGGTTATTGTACCCACAAGTGGGTTATTGTACCCACAAGTGGGTTATTGTACCCACAAGTGGGTTATTGTACCCACAAGTGGGTTATTGTGCCCACAGGTGGGTTATTGTACCCACAAGTGGGTTATTGTACCCACAAGTGGGTTATTGTACCCACAAGTGGGTTATTGTACCCACAAGTGGGTTATTGTACCCACAGGTAGGGTTATTGTACCCACAAGTGGGTTTATTGTACCCACAAGTGGGTTATTGTACCCACAGGTGGGTTATTGTACCCACAAGTGGGTTATTGTACCCACAAGTGGGTTATTGTACCCACAAGTGGGTTATTGTACCCACAAGTGGGTTATTGTACCCACAAGTGGGTTATTGTACCCACAGTGGTTATTGTACCCACAAGTGGGTTATTGTACCCACAAGTGGGTTATTGTACCCACAAGTGGGTTATTGTACCCACAAGTGGGTTATTGTACCCACAAGTGGGTTATTGTACCCACAGGTGGGTTATTGTACCCACAAGTGGGTTATTGTACCCAAAAGTGGGTTATTGTACCCACAGGTGGGTTATTGTACCCACAAGTGGGTTATTGTACCCACAAGTGGTTATTGTCCCACAGGTGGGTTATTGTACCCACAGTGGGTTATTGTACCCACAAGTTGGTTATTGTACCCACAGGTGGGTTATTGTACCCACAGGTGGGTTATTGTACCCACAGGTGGGTTATTGTACCCACAAGTGGGTTATTGTACCCACAGGTGGGTTATTGTACCCAAAACCACGGTGGGTTATTGTACCCACAAGTGGGTTATTGTACCCACAGATGGGTTATTGTACCCACAGGTGGGTTAATGTACCCATAAGTGAGTTATTGTACCCACAGGTGGGTTATTGTACCCACAAGTGGGTTATTGTACCCACAGGTGGGTTTTTGTACGCACAGGTGGGTTATTGTACCCACAAGTGGGTTATTGTACCCACAGGTGGGTTATTGTACCCACAAGTGAGTTATTGTACCCACAGGTGGGTTATTGTACCCACAAGTGGGTTATTGTACCCACAGGTGGGTTTTTGTACGCACAGGTGGGTTATTGTACCCACAAGTGGGTTATTGTACCCACAAGTGGGTTATTGTACCCACAATGATTTTAAAAAGTTATTTGTACACGATTTACCCATAGGTGGGTTATTATACCCACAAGTGAGTTATTGTACCCATAGGTGGGTGTCATGTAGGGGGGTAATGATTGAATCGGATATAAGTGGGGAATATGGGAGTAAGGGATTATGTAGGCAGGGGAGAGGCAGGCGAGGTGGTAGGAGTGAGATGATTAGCGGAGGTAGGTAGGTAATGACAGGTCAGTGGTGACCACCACGACACTCAGGTAGGTAGGTAATGACAGGTCAGTGGTGACCACCACGACACTCTAGTTAAACTCTACCCCCACACACTAAGATATGCATATTGCCACACGCCCATATGCTTCACATCATTTAACACAACCCTAATAAAATATAGGGAAAAAATAGAGATAGGTAATGACAGGTCAGTGGCAACACCTCCTATTCTACTCAAACACAATATGTGATTCTTCACTCATTGAACAATAAATATAATAGTTGGGAAAAGGATAATTCTGTTATAAAAATATTGGATGGTAATAATATAGGGACAGGAGACATGGGAAAAAATGAATATGAAACCCAAAATGAACAATAACTTACAAAATATATACAGTAGCAGTTACTACAGAACAAGTCCACAGGGTACCCAAGACCTACACAGCACGAGTACTGCGCCAAGCCAGTACTCTGCCCAATGTCTCCAACAGTCTCCTCCAGAGACACTTTCAGCCAGCCTCCCTCATCTCTCTCGAGCTCTGCACCCCAGCAGCAGCTCCGCTCGAAGTCTCTGCTCAGGAGCTCTGCACCCCAGCAGCAAGGCTCACCGCACCCCCACATCGCACATCTCTCTGCTCAGCTGTTCCTTGGGCTTATATCGTGGTCCAAGCACCCTCCACAACCACGTGTACGACCTGACGCCTGGATTTGACGCCGTCAAGAACAAAAGACCTCAGACGTGGGCGTGGCTACAGACATTTGCCAAGGCAAGGTGTGACCATATAATTGGTTAAATTAGGTCTCCCCAGAGACCTCACAAGCCCAGCTGAACTACATCACATGGGTTATTGTACCCACAAGTGGGTTATTGTACCCACAGGTGGGTTTTTGTATGCACAGGTGGGTTATTGTACCCACAGGTGGGTTATTGTACCCACAGGTGGGTTATTGTACCAACAGGTGGGTTATTGTACCCACAGGTGGGTTATTGTACCCACAGGTGGGTTATTGTACCCACCTGGAGTTTACCTGGAGAGAGTTCCGGGGGTCAACACCCCCGCGGCCCGGTCTGTGACCAGGCCTCCTGATGGATCAGAGCCTGATCAACCAGGCTGTTACTGCTGGCTGCACGCAAACCAACGTACGAGCCACAGCCCGGCTGGTCAGGAACCGACTTTAGGTGCTTGTCCAGTGCCAGCTTGAAGACTGCCAGGGGTCTGTTGGTAATCTCCCTTATGTATGCTGGGAGGCAGTTGAACAGTCTTGGGCCCCTGACACTTATTGTATGGTCTCTTAACGTGTTAGTGACACCCCTGCTTTTCATTGGGGGGATGTTGCATCGTCTGCCAAGTCTTTTGCTTTCGTAGTGAGTGATTTTCGTGTGCAAGTTCGGTACTAGTCCCTCTAGGATTTTCCAGGTGTATATAATCATGTATCTCTCCCTCCTGCGTTCCAGGGAATACAGGTTCAGGAACCTCAAGCGCTCCCAGTAATTGAGGTGTTTTATCTCCGTTATGCGCGCCGTGAAGGTTCTCTGTACATTTTCTAGGTCAGCAATTTCACCTGCCTTGAAAGGTGCTGTTAGTGTGCAGCAATATTCCAGCCTAGATAGAACAAGTGACCTGAAGAGTGTCATCATGGGCTTGGCCTCCCTAGTTTTGAAGGTTCTCATTATCCATCCTGTCATTTTTCTAGCAGATGTGATTGATACAATGTTATGGTCCTTGAAGGTGAGATCCTCCGACATGATCACTCCCAGGTCTTTGACGTTGGTGTTTCGCTCTATTTTGTGGCCAGAATTTGTTTTGTACTCTGATGAAGATTAATTTCCTCTGTTTACCATATCTGAGTAATTGAAATTTCTCATCGTTGAACT